TTCATTTATTCGATTATGGCTTGCTTTGTAATAATTAATATAGATTTCTTTGTTATTAAGATTGTGGTTATCTCACCCCTTTCTTTTCAATATTTCCAAGTCCAAGCAAAGGAACCAGTGAAGGACGAGGAAAAGAGCAAAGCTAGGGGTTGTTTGTGAATTGTAAAGAACTGCAACCCTTTTTTTTTAGCAAATATATTGTAATGTATTTAGAATTAGGGTACCAATAGGATATGATTATGTATATGTGTGTGAGTATATGTGGATTGTATGACTTGTGTATGAATTTTTATTTGCTTGTAGACTTCTGGCTAGAAAACTTGGCTATAGTGTGTGGTTTTGATGGATTTATTTAGTAGACCAAGTTTCCACCACAAGCAAATATTTATTTTGGTATATATGTGATTTCACAAGAAAATGCAAAGTGGTTACATTGCAAATGGTGTGCTATGAGCAAACATATACCTTGGATAGAGAGAGTGGGTGCATGGGCCCCACAGAGATCTCCAAGTCAAGTGAAAATGTTTAGCATGTGTATTTATATGTGTATATGATATTTGGAATAGTTTTTGGCCACTTTTGTGTGATTTGTGCATTTTGAGGGTTTAGGGTCCATTTTGAGAAATGGCACTTAGGTGGTCAAATTTTGGTATAAAAGGTTTTTCTATCATTTAAATATTTTATCAAATGTTTTTAGTCCTATTTGACGTGTCCAAAATGTTCCCACAAGTTTGTGACCGTTAGGATGAGATTTGGACAATTTTGAAAATGGTTTTTATCAAAAAACTGCACTTTTGCATCTGGGTGTCCAAATCTTAATCTGACCGTTGGATTTCTCTAAAATTTGGGTCACAAGTAAAACCTTTTATAAGCTTCGTGTGGGCTTTGAAATCACATCGATCGAACACTGGACGGAGAAACGACACACTTCAGAATTTAGTCCAGATGAGCTGTCATAATAGCAAAAGTGCTGTCATGACAGCAATAATTGATAATGTTGTAACATGTATGAAATTTAATCTGTCTATTGGATCTTTCAAAAATTTGATATGCTAATAGTTATATTTAAAAGTGACATGTGGGCTTTAAAATCGCTCCGATCGGAGATCGAATGATGAAATGGTGCACCCCGAAAGTTAGTCCGGAGGTGTTGTCATGACAGCAAAAATGACTAATCTTTTAACATGTTTAATTTTTAATCTGACCGTTGGATCTTTTTGAAATTTGGTAAACTTATAGTATCCTTTGAATGTAACGTGCGAGCTTTAAAATCACTTCAATCGGAGGTCGGATGGCGGAACGGTGCCTCCCAGAAGTTGGCCCGGGAGGGCTGTTATGACAGCAATTTAATGCTATCATGACAGCATCTTTTTATTCCACTTTCGTCTAGCTTGCTTCCGTGCGTTATAGGTAGAACCTATAATTTTTTTAAGGTTTTAAATGTTTACTTTGCAATCATATATTTGCTTAGTGATTTAAATGGTTGTTTCTTAAGTTGGTTTTAGGATTAACTCCTTAACCACACTTAGTTTATTTGAATTGTGTGATTTTTGGATAACACTCGGGGCAGGTGTTACATAAGAGTTCTTCAATTTTAGATATTGCAAATCATTTAATCATGCAAGAATTGAATTATGACAAAGTTGCTTTACAATATCAATCTAAAAGGCTAATACAATTATTGACCAAAGAACAAAGAGACATCTTCCAAAGCATCATTGACTATGGAAGTATTGGTAAAACAATTTTGTGGAATGCTCTGATTTTCATTTTGCATTCTAAAGGGAAGATAGTTCTAGTCATTAGATCAAGTGCAATTGTAGCTACTTTGTTACCATCAGGGAGAACTGCACACTCAAAATTTGCCATCCCAATTGACATAAATAAAGATTCAATTTTGTAACATTAGCTAAAGTCCCCATTATCATACCTATTGCAGCAAACAAAATTAATCATTTTGGATGAAGCTCCAATGATACATTGCCACTGCATAGAAGCATTTGATCGCTCACTCAAAGATATCATGCATTGTGATATACCATTTGGGGGCAAGTCTATAGTCATAGAAGGTGATTTTAGTCAAATTCTTTCCATAATTCCTAAAGGTAGCAAGGCAGATATAGTCAATGCATCCATTAATTATTAATACTTGTCGAGTTATTGCAAGATATACAAGCTGACAAAGAACATGCGGCTAAACTCATCTTCATCCTCCTCTTATCATGAAAAAGTAGAGAAATTCTCACATTATGGCTACTAGAAGTGGGAGATGGCAAAGTTAGAGAATCAAATAATGGCATTGGAAATATTGAAATTCTCTTAGAGTTATTGATTACTTCATACAACAATCCTTTGGCTACAATTTTTTCATCTACATATCTAGATTTATTGGATAATTTATCCAACATGGCATACTTTAGTGACAGGGCTATCCTCGCACCAACTATTAAGTGTGTTAACTAGATAAATGATTTCATGCATGGAATCTTACTTGGGGAATCAGTAGAATATTTTAATTGCAACTCTGTTTACAAATCATCACAGAGTAATGACTCATTTGAGGATCTTTATATAACTAAGTTTCTCAACACGATTAATAGTTTTGATTTACCTTCGCATAAAGTTACACTAAAGATTGGTGCACCTATAATACTTTTTATGAACGTTGACCAAGCTTCAGGATTATGTAATGGTACAAGATTGCGGATCATAGAGTTTGGCAAATGTGTAATCAATGCAATGACACTAAATGGTTCTTGCCCAAATCAAAAGTTTCTCATATATTAGAATAGATATGAATCCTTCATAGAGTATATGGCTTTTTCACATGCAAAGAAGATAATTTCTAATTATTCTTTCTTTTGAAATGACAACGAACAAAAGTCAAGGCCAATCACCATACAACATTGGTCTTTATCTGCAAGGCCAGTTTTTATACATGGCCAACTATATGTTACAATTTCTAGAGTTAGAAGCATAGATGGGTTGAGAATATTAATTCATAACATTGATAAACAACCCCAAACAACCATTACTAATGTGGTCTTCCATGTGATCTTCCAAAACTCCAAGCTACAAGTGCATGATTTTTTTTTTTTGGTGAGATTTGTTTTTAAATTGCCTGTGTAGTAAAGAATGACATTCTTATTAAATATTTTTTGTCAAATATGATAGTTTTTTTAAGCAATACTTCATTTCTTTCCCGACCATGTGCCACATATTATGGTTATAATTATTTGAACTAAACTATCATTAATTAAATTTGCGTCTTTTGAATTGACCAAACCATGCAACACATGGGATTGTGGCTAGTTACAGAAAAAGATAAAAAAATTATAAATATAACCCTATAAAAAATTAATACTAATTAAGTTTTCTAAATTATAAATAAATATGAAAAAAAATAAAATGTTATTTCTTTTCCATATATAAGACCAAAAAAACCTTTTTAATCGGTTGCCATGTTAACAAAAATATTATGTTTGTTTTAATAATATCTTATTAAAATATCAACAGTTTAATATATATATATATATATATATACACTTAAATATTATTATTATTTGTAATTTGACACAATTTACAAGTTAACTTTTGAGATTTACAATTTCTCAAAAAAAAAAAAAAGATGCAATTTAACTAATATATCTATGATTGGAAAATAAATATGATTTTTTATAAATAATATAGTAGTTGAATTTTTAAAAAGGAATTCATCTATAAATTTCAGATACACTAGGTGAGCAATTAAAATATTATTTATAAATTTTGTAGGAATGTTTTATAAGTAATAATTACAATATTTAAACTATTAAACATTAAAAAATTAATATTTTAATAAGATATTATCAAAATAAACTTAGTTTTTTGGTATGAAAACATATTATTAAAAGATGTTTTTGGCATAAGATATTATTAAAATAAACATTATTTTTTAATTACTTGTGTTGGTGTGAATAATGGTGATTAGATAATTACCTAGTGATCAATATTGGATTTTAGTCGTTTATATGTAACACAAATAAACATTTGTCTCTTAGTTTTTTTTTTTTTTTGTGTAATTCAGAGAACTTAATTGATATAAATATTTTATATGATACTTATTTATAATTTTTTGGACTCTCAATATAATTTTTGAGGTTCTTTTATATAATTTTCTGATCAATTAATTGTCTTAACTTTTATTAATATTATAGGAGACATTGCCCCATTTTCAAAGTAAAAATGAATTTAAAATCCCAAACATTTCTAAACCTATAATTTAAGGACAATATTACCCTTTAATCTTTATATTAAACGAGACAATAAACTACTTGAATGTAATCATATTCAGTGATATATCAAGAAATTTTGCCTTATCAGTTTTTGTACTACTTTAATATCTTTTTGTGAGTTACTAATTAGATATTAAATATTTATAACCAAGAAATTTTAATATTTAACTCTTAATAAATAATATTACTGTGTTCAATACATCTCCCAAAATTTATTTAAGCCATTTCAATTTTGAAAAACTTTTGACAATAAAACTAACAAGTATTGTGAACAACATTTTATAAACAATGCAAGCATTTAAAAAAGAATATAATATTTTAATATAATTTAATATTTCAATTGGTTTATTAATTTCTTCTGCTGACAATTTTTTTTTTAAATTAATCCCTCTTTTCTAAGGCACACAAGATGTCTATAACTTGGGAGTAGGTTTGACAGTTTGAAATGAGGGGGTGAACATTAACCTTTCAATAATTTCATAATAACTATAAGGACTCCAGGACTTTGACATTTTAAAATCGTTTGATACTTCATTATAATTCCATTAGTCTTTCATGGATGTAATTGTCATTTTCTGTTTTTATCATGGACAACCAAAATTGCAAGTACACATGCAATAAGCACCCATATGACAAAGGGGGGAAAATCAAAGCAATGATATTTCAAGATCGAAAAAATCAGCATATAATTTTTATATATAAAAAGATATAACAAGTTATACTATCTATGAGAGATGAATAATATTAGCTTAATTCTTCGATTTCATGTAGTACAGAGGTCCAAACTAGTTATTGATAACTCAAATAAACAAAACATGTAATGTCTGTTTATTGATCTATAATATATATGCACATGCTATGCTAACGTATATAGATATAGATGGCATAATTTTACTATGAAGTCAACACCGAAATACTTGGGAAGAAAATTGAGGGACCAAAAACCCAGTTTGCGCAGCTGCCATTGGAACAATTAACCCCAAAAAATGAAATGGATTCCATGGAGAGAATGACAACTAAGAACCTTCTAAGAAGTTTAATGCCAGCTCAAGATTTCATAAAGATTGTAGTACTAAAATATGGGAGGTGGAATACTGAATTTGGGAATTTTAATTGTGAAGAGATCCTAACGTAACGTTAAAATTCTTAAAAGGTCTTTTATTTGTCATTCTCCCGATTGTGTGTACAGTGAGGGAGGTCTTTTTTGACCCAGGTTTTAGGCATGATGCAGCTTCTCTCACCCCTTTGGCGTAAAATCTTGTGTCAACTTTAGATATGAAGGGGCTTGGCATGAGAATTCACTTGTCAATTATACGGCATGCGAAGAAAGCAAATCAAACACTAAGCTTGGGATGGAAATCAGAGTTAATAAATAAAGAGGTAATTTCATCCAAACAAGCCATTCGGATCCTCTCAGGAGTTGCTGGATTATCAAGAGGAAACCAATCATTATACCCAATTTCAGCTCTTGCAGCTCTAATGGCATCCTTGATGGCGAAGAATACGCTTGATGCTAGGAAAAAAGGAGGCTCGCCAACAGCTTTAGACGAATGGATGGCTTTGACATTTGGATGACCCTATCAGTTAACACGCACAGAAAAAAAAAATGAAGTTATCATTCAACCAGAATTAAAAATTAGTTTCTTAAGACAAACTTCAAAATACAACAGGTTATGCTTCAAGGAAAGCATGATAAAATGCATGAGCTAGTATTTCAATGCCACACCAACATATCCCCATGTTAATCTCAGGAACATCCAAGAGATGCTGATGGCTACCTAAGTGGAATGGAGAACCTTGCCCCAAAACATAGCTCTAGAAATGGGAGACCCAACTTTTCAAAATACCCACTCAGCATCCAATGCTACTCAATGTGGGCCTCAGTATCCCATATTATTAAGTCTCCATCAGTTGGCACCCAGTAAAAAGCCATGGGGACAGCAGTTGCACTCCATGACACTTAAATAGGCATATTACTAGTTAGAATCCTCTGTAAGTAGCCCTCTTTGAAATTGTTGACAATATGACTTTGATATCAATTGGTGAGTACCTAAGTGGGGAACCCTATTACAAAATCTAACTATTGAGGTGGGAAAAACAATCCACTTAAATATCTCATTGAACATCCCATACTATTTAATGTGAGACTTAGTATTCCATACTACCAAATCACCATCAAATGCAGTTACAGAAATAAAGTTTGATAGAAATCTAAAGCAAACCATATGTTTAACGAGAGAAGTGTGCATATGTTATTCTTCATCATCCATAATCACTAAACCATAATGCCCTAGGTGAAGACCTGCAGTAATCTACCCGTTCCTTCTCATGGAAAAAAACATCAATAACAACTAGCTGTTGTACTAATGGGAAAATGTAGAGTTTAAGCCCCTGACACCATAGGGGCACCAAGCAATGTAACGCAATTGAATCACTTCCATATGCATCACCCACTCCCCTTCTCCACTTAACCCCGAAAGAAAAGAGAATTGAAGTTGTTCTGGAACATACCTTAAGAAGTGAGACATTAAATTTCAAGGGAACATCATTTACGGAAGGAATTTTATATGTTCCAGGCCCACATGTGCAAAGGTACCCGGGGGGAATCCATTTATGGGCTCTATCTCCCCATTTAAGTTCTTCTAGGGCTACCCAACCCAAACCTTGAACAAAAGCTCCTTCAATCTGTTGAAAGGAATGACATGAACCTGAGTATATATTGCATAAATAAATAAAATGAAAATTCAAGAAAATGCAAAATAAAAATCAAATGAAGGGTCAGAATTCTGACTGAAGATTCAGCCATAAGCCATATTTTTCTTCTGTTCCAAGGATCTTCCCCTCTCTTTCGTAATTCCCTTCCTCTTAAATTTCTTTATCTATCCTGAGAATAAAAATAAAAAGAAATAAAAAGAAAATTACCTGTCCAACATCTATGGCGGGGTTCAAAGAGTACCCTAGATCCAAAATTACATTTGCTTCCCTTGTATGAAAATCTCCAGTCAAGGTATCAATTTCCACCTCAGCAAATGCAGCTCCATAAGTGAAGTACCTAAATGGACTTCCTTTACCAATTTTCCAGTCAAATCCAATATCAGGTGTAATATAAAATCCATGGGCAGAAAGGTCTATTCGCTCTACATAGCATGCACTAGCCAGCTGAAAAAGATAAATGCAGGACAAAATACCATTAACAGATAATTTCCAAGCAAAAGGTAGATAGAAATAGTGGAGAAAATCATAGGAGCTGCTTTCTACTGATTGTTCAAGGCCTATACAGCATATAATCTTTAGAAGGACTCGAATATGATACAGGCTTTTCCTAAAGTAACCTCAGTTATTCATACGAACGTATTTAGGAATTAGGATCTTTGTATATCTTTTTCTTCTGCTTTACTCACAAATTTTAACCAAGTCCCAAACCACTAATAATGAAAAAGAAGAAAGAAAAAGAGCACTGATGAATGAAATCCATTAGAACAATTATATTTCAGCACAGGTTGTCTCCAGATGCCAACTCTTCACAGCAAGCAACAGAGACCAGCATATTTACCTGGCTCTTCCCAAGGTTCTTTATTCAGCACAACACCTCAATGAATGCAATACAGAAACACAGCTATCATAATACATAAGTGAGCCATTCTTTGGTCAGTCCCTTTATTCTGAGTGGGTACTTGCTTTAGGTGAGAAAAAAAACTGTAAGTGCAGTACCTCAGCAAAAGAATTAAAAGTTTGTCGTGAAGCAATAGGCTCCATGCGTGCCTTTATTTTCTCACATGCATCCAAAACCGCTGCTCCATACATATCAGAACTTGCAGAAGCTGCTGTTGGTGTCGCATTAGGTACCTAATATTGTAGTAAACATGAGCAAGCCATATCTATATAGCATCAAAAACAACTATCTGTAGATAAATCTACGACAGAAAACTTAAGGAAAGGGATAAACCAAAGGAACAGTAAAGGATGTGTGGGGTTTTGATGTTTAAATATTTTGCAATAAAACATGATACGGAAAGCAACATGCTCTCAGCCATATGTGCTGGGGCTGTTGTTGTTCATTTCTAATTTGATTTTGTAGTTAGTTTTCTAGAGTGCTGACAGCGTTCAGTTTATGCTGAATATTTATATCATCAAACCAGATAGCATTATCCTTATCAATTCTAATTTCATTCTTTCCAGTAATCCATGCAGCTTTCTTGAATAGTTCAACCACCTCAGCCCACATCTATGAATCATTATGACTTAGCAGCAAAAGGGAAAGAGGAAAACATAGAAGAGAAATAAAGTCAAGTCCTTACTTAACTCAAATGTTCTGAGAAATTTAGAAACAAGATATCATAAATCCAAATAAGAGGGTAGATACTTTACCTTATCAGTGCTTGTATCTGATATAAAGACAGAACTAAGGGGGATGCCGAAAGCTGAGGCAGCAATCTGAGCAACTTTTGTATGCAAGCCTTGCCCCATTTCTACTCCCCCATGGGTAACTAAAACAGTTCCATCAGTATAGACATGAACGAGAGCGCCTGCCTGAAGTTATTAAGAAGATATCAAATTCATCAATTTTTGATCCCCCAAACAAATAACAAAATGACTGATGAACACTCTTTAAAGACAATATCTTAAAAAGAAAGAAAGAAAGAAAAAGGAAGGATTCTATACAAAAAGCATCATAAAAATACGCTCAAACTAAATCACTTATCAAGTAATGTAAGTCATTACCCTATCACTCAAAAGAACATTTAATGAAGACGTAAAAATTATAAGCTACAGTATGTTGTATATTGGATAATGATATGAAAAGATTGAAATACAGTACGTAGGACTATACCCTATTAATTTCCTTGAAGCTTCAGAGACCAAGTGCAATGTGAGTGATTGAAAGAAATAATAAACTTGAATCTTCCGCTAGATGATGAGTTCATAAGAAATATAAAAGGTAGGATATATTACTTTCAGCTCAAAGCATGGGGAAGAAGTTATGGAAATATTTGTTGACGTCGAGAAAGCTGATGGCTGTTAATAGTCCAGAAACATGAAAATATAAAGATGAACCTGGAAGAATAATATATGAAGAGAATCAAAGAAATGATATGTTCTGTGATTTCTTAATTCCTTAGAATGGAGGTAGCTGTATGCTGCTAGTGGATCCCATGAATTAAGCTCGCAAAACCAGCACAAATAAAAGCTACATAAACTAAAAAATTAATGCTAGCAAAAACAGTTAACGGTTTTCATTTTCTAAAAAAATAAACCACACCGTTCACATAAAACATGCACATAATTAGGTCATGAATGAGGAGATTATAGTCAAATTTCAACAATAGCAAGAAGCCTTTATCCCACTAGGTGGGGTCAGCTACATGAAGTACAAGATGCCATTGTGCTCTATCATTTACCAAGTTTTTAAAAATATTATTAATTAAAAGATCGCGTTCAATAATTTTCAAAAGTGTTCTCTAAGGCCTTCCTCTACCCCTCTCAACAGAGTTCAAAGTTTTATGTTCCACTCTTCTCACTGGTGCCTCCCGCAATCTTTTTTGTACATGCCCAAACCATCTTAAACGATTTTCTACCATTTTTTTCTCAATAGGTGCTATCCTCACTTTTTTGCGTACGTGCTCATTCCAACTTTTATCTTTACGTATATGTCCGTACATCCATCGTAACATTCTCATCTCTGCTACTTCAACTTTATACTCTTACTATCCCATTAGAGCCCAACATTCACTATTATATAACATAGCCAGTTTGATAGTAGTACGGTAAAACTTTCCTTTAAGTTTATTAGACACCTTACGGTAGCAAATAACTCATTTAACTTTTCTCCAATTAAACCACCCAACTTGAATCCTACATGAAATATCTCCACTGATTTCGCATCATTTTAAATAATGGCTCCCAAATATCTAAATTTTTTCACTTGAGGTATAATTTGATCTCCCAATTTTACTTCCAAATTACCGTCGACTAGTCTCTTACCAAATTTACAAATATAAATATTCTGTCTTACTCCTACTCAAACAGAAACCTTTCGACTCCAATATCCTCCTTCAAAACTCAAGTTTACAATTAATCTCTTTTCTTGTCTCTACTATAAGAATTATATCATCCGTGAATACATTTGAGAATTTTTCCTCGAATATGTTCCATCAAAACATTTAGGATCAAGTTAAACAGATAAGAACTCAAAGATAATCCCTGATGTAGTCCAATCTTTATAGAAAAGTCCTTTGTTTGACCACTAGACATTCTTATACTAGTTTTTACCTTCTCATACATATCTTGTATAACTTTAATATAAGCAATCCGTACTCCCTTCTTTTTCAAGGCTTTTCAAAGTACTTCTCTTGGTATACAGTCATAAGTTTTTTCCAAATCAATAAAAACCATGTGTAAATCTTTATCTTTACATCGATTTACCTAGCAAAACCAAACTGATTCTCAGAAATACTTATCTCCAATCTCAACCTATGCTCAATTACTTTCTCTCACAATTTCATTGTGGCGCTCATGAGTTTAATCCCTCTATAGTTACTACAATTCTGAATATCCCCTTTATTTTTATAAATAGGAATTAATATACTTCTTCTCCAGTCGTCAGGCATTTTCTCGGATCATAAAATCACATTAAATAACTTAGTTAATCATCTCTCCCCTCCTTCACCTAAACATTTTCACACGTCAATAGATATACAATCAGGTCTATTGACTCTACCATCTATCATTTTCTTAAGAGCTTCCTTTATCTTCTTATCATGTATTATTTAATAGAATGACAAATTTTGTTCTCCTTCACGAGTTACTAAATCCTCTAAGTTATTAGATGAACCCTCTCCATCATTGAAAAGTTTGAAATAGTAAGTCTCCCATTTGTTTCTAATTTCATCATCTGTAACTAAAATTCTTCTCTCTTCATCCTTTATACACCTTACCTGTTCTAGATCTCTTGATTTTCTTTCCCTACTCTTAGCAATTTTATAAATGTTTCATTCTCCTTCCTTTGTCTCAAGGCTCTTATAAAATTTTTCAAAAGCTTTAGAACAAACTTCACTCACAACTCTCTTAATTTCCTTCTTAGCCATACAATACCTTTTTCAATTTTTCTCATTGTTACACAAATGCATGGCTTTAAAACAGTTTTTTTTATGTTTGATTTTGTCTTGTACACTATTATTCCACCACTAAGACTTCTTATCTTTTGGACCAAAACCTTTTAATTCTCCCAAAACTACTTTTGCAACCTCCCTTATCTTTTTAGCCATATCCTCCCACAAGATGTTAGCACTTTCCTGAGATTCCCAAATTCCTCTATCCAAAAGATTCCGCTTAAAAATATCTTGTTTTTCACCTTTTAATTGCTACCACTTAATTCTTAGTGCTACTATTTGTCGACGTTTTTGAGTTTTACTCATATAATACACACATCAAGGACAAGGACCCTATGTTGTGTCATTACAGCATCCCTGAAAATCACCTTTCAATTTTTATAGAGTCTTCTATCCATGTTCCTAACCAAAAGAAAATCAATCTGTGACCTTGAGGCTCCACTTTTGTAAATGATGAGATGCTCATCTCTCTTCTTGAAACAAGTGTTGGCAATTTTAAAATCATATGCCAATGAAAAATCAAGAAGAGTCTATCCTTCATTATTTAGCTCTTCAAAACCAAAACCACCATGCACCCTCGCATACTGACCAGCCTCCCTCCTAACATGCTCATTAAAGTCTCCTCCAATAAAAATCTTTTCACTCTGTGGTATACGCTGAATCAACCTCTCCAAGTCCTCCCCAAATAATTCCATAAGACTAGCCTCTGTCCCGACTTGAGGCACATAAGCGCTAACAATATTAACAGTCTCACGTCCAACTTTTATTTTTAAGGAAATAATTCTGTCTCTAATTCTGCTAACTTCTATAATGTTTTTCTTTCACTGCTTATCAATAATGATGCCTACTCCACTGCGTGTGCTTACTTTTCTTGTATACCAAAGTTTGAAACCTTAAATGGACTTAGCTTCTTCTCCATGTCAAATTTCAACAACATGATTATAAAATAGCTCAAGACCCATCTCTAGCAGTGGCTACTCAGTCCTTGCTAGATAAATTGTAACTACAACATGTGGTTGACCATATATTTAATGTAAATATTATTTATTAATAAAGGGGATACTGTGGGGAGTAAAAATAGGAATTTTGTAGATATCCTATTCCCGAATATCCTCTCCTGATTCCACCTCCTGATTTCTTGGAGATTTGATCATCTTCTCACATGTATAAATCAGTGTACATACTCTGGGATTCAATAAGAAGAGTTTTTCGGTCTATTTGCTATATGGTATCAGAGCAACTAGCAGATATCGACGCCAAAAACTCTGAGACAGAAAGCACCGAAGACGAGACACAAGAGTTGCACCCGATTCACACTTCTCCAATGTCGAAGAGTGATGGGTCCTCGCAAATCGATCCAGATAAGGCCGGTAGTCCCCTCGGGTCGATCACTGGTCATGACGGATCATCGGTGCTCGTGGTTACCATGAAACTCAATGGCTCGAATTATCGGGTATGGGCACAGGCTATGCGACTTGCGATTGGAGGCCGAGGGAAGATGGGTTACCTCGATGGCTCATCAAAAATTCCAGAAGAGTCCAGAACGCAGGAGCTACAGCGATGGCATACCGAAAATTCATTGGTATCATCGTGGCTGATCAATGCCATGATTCCGGAAATTCAACAGAGCTTCATATTTCTTCCATCAGCTCATGAAATCTGGAAAGCTGTGCGAGATTCATACTCTGATGGGAAGGATTTGGCGCGAATATATGAGCTTAAAACAAAAGCATGGTCACTGCAGCAGGGAGAACGTGATGTCACGGCTTTCTGGCTGGAGCTGAATACCATCTGGCAGGAATTAGACTTGATGACAGAAATGGAATGGTCTAGCAGTAATGATGCAATCCGTTATAAGGAGCAAGTCGAGAATGAACGGGTGTTTCAGTTTCTTGCAGGACTGAATCAATCTCTAGATGATGTACGGGGGCGCGTTCTGAGCCGTATGCCACTTCCATCCACTAGAGAAGTATTCTCAGAGGTACGTCGAGAGGCTTCAAGACGCAAGGTAATGACTCCTGGAGCTATTTCTGCACCAACTTCTTCCTTGGACACTGCTGCACTTGTGAGCAAGGGCAGTGATTCAAATCATAAGAACCAAAAAGGGAAGGTCACTTGTGAACATTGCAAGAAGATTGGGCATACCCGTGACACTTGTTGGGATATACATGGTAAGCCAGCCGATTGGAAGCCGAAAAAGGGCAAGCAACGAAGTTATCAAACTTCTCATGATGTACCGCCAGATAAACCAGACTCAATACCTGAAATTGATAAGGAGCAACTAGGTAAGCTACTTGAGATGCTTAGTGTGTTGCAGAAGAATGAGAAAAACCAGAAACTGAATCCTACTGCATCTGTGGCTCACAAAGGTAAATGTGCCTTACTTACTTCTAATAGTAACCCCAAATGGATTGTTGATACTGGGGCAACTGATCATATGACCTCAGATGTTAAACTATTCAATACCTATATTCCTAGCGCTGGGAATGAAACAGTAAGTACAGCTAATGGATCTTCCTCGTCAATAGCAGGAACAGGAAGTGTGGTTATTTCTAAAGTCATGAGACTGAATCATGTTTTACATGTACCTTACTTGGCTTGTAACTTATTGTCTATAAGTAAGTTGACTAAAGAGGCAAATTGCTGGGCTCATTTCTGTTCTACTCATTGTATTTTTCAGGACCTCTTATCGGGGAAGATGATTGGCAGTGCTAAGGAGCATAACGGTCTCTACTATCTCGATGAATCAACCGTGAGTAGTCTTTGGTCTCGAATCCAGTGTCACATTGCAAATAAAGACTTTAATGATCTTATGTTATGGCATAGGAGAATGGGTCATCCAAATTTTCAATACTTATGTCGTTTGTTTCCTGAATTTCAAGTTAATAAAATTTCTTCATTTCACTGTGCTGAGTGTGAACTTGCTAAACATCACAGATCTGTGTTCAAACCTGTTGAATATAAATCTACCCGTCCTTTTTCCATTATTCATAGTGACTTATGGGGTCCTACTCGTATTGCTAATCGTACAAATACTAAATGGTTCATTACATTTATTGATGACCATACTAGAATGTGTTGGGTCTACCTATTACAAGATAAATCTGCTGTGCCCTCTGTCTTTTCTCAATTTTATACAATGGTAAAAAACCAGTTTGACACCACAATCCAAGTCCTCCATACTGACAATGGCACTGAATACTTTAATAAAACCATGGATATGTTCCTCACAGAACATGGAATTGTCCATAAAAGTACCTGTCCTAACACTCCCCAACAAAATGGTATTGCGGAACGGAAAAACAAACACCTCTTAGAAGTTGCACGTGCCTTGCTCTTCACTTATAACGTTCCCAAATATTTTTGGGGAGATGCAATTCTTACCGCTACATATTTAATCAACCGCATGCCAAGTCGTGTCCTCTCATTTACCACACCTCTTGAGAAATTAAAAGAATCTCACTCCATTACTCATCTTGACACCAACCTACCACTTAAAATTTTTGGTTGTTCCACTTATGTTCACTCCCATCACTCCCAAAAGCTGGACCCTAAAGCCATCAAATGTATCTTTCTTGGTTATTCCTCTACACAAAAAGGGTATAAATGCTTTGATCCTCATACCAAGAAACTTTACATAAGCCGAGACGTTAGCTTTGTTGAGCATGAGTCCTTTTACCCAAACACTTCAAGTCAGGGGGAGAGGGGGAGTGACTTTCAGTTTTTGGAAAGTGAAAGTGAGAGGCAAAGGGGTAAAGAAATCACCACCATTCATGATTCTGATCCCTTCATTCTTGCACCAACAAACTCTCAAATAGAGTCTGAACTCTTGAACCCACCGTCCACCGAATTCAGGGTCCAATCTCCTAGGCCAGAAATTGAAGTAAAAAGTCTTTCAGATTGCACTGAAATTGCTGGAAATGCACTGGAAAAGACACCCATAGTCTACTCTAAGAAGAAATGGCGAGAAAGGGAGACTGTTATACCTGAAGCACAACCAGAATTCGAACCACAAGAGGCTCCTGAAGCTGGGAAAGCGGAGACAGACTTACCGATAGCCCTCAGAAAACAACCCAGAACTTGTACACAGCACCCCATCCAAAGGTTTGTGAGCTATCAGACTCTATCCTCACAATTCCGCACTTTTGTAACTAACCTTGATAAAGTGAAGATTCCCAATGATGTATATGAGGCCCTTAGCATACCAGATTGGAAGAATGCTGTGATAGAGGAGATGAATGCTTTAACAAAAAATGGCACATGGGAAGTTGTAGAGCTACCAAAAGGGAAGAGAGTTGTGGGCTGCAAGTGGGTGTTCACCCCAAAATATGATGCTGCTGGTAAGTTGGACAGATTAAAGGCACGGTTAGTGGCAAAAGGGTTCACCCAAACATATGGCTTGGACTACAAAGAAACTTTTGCCCCTGTAGCCAAGCTTAATACTATCAGAATCCTAATCTCTGTGGCTGTAAATCTGGATTGGCCTCTCCAGCAACTAGATATTAAAAACGCCTTCCTAAATGGTGGCCTTAAGGAAGAAGTCTTCATGACACTACCTCCAGGTTTTGAGGCGGGAAAGAACAATCAAGTGTGTAAGCTTAAGAAATCCTTGTATGGCCTAAAACAATCACCGCGGGCTTGGTTTGACAGATTCTCGGAAGTCTTGAAGAATGAAGGGTATAAGCAGGGATTGTCTGATCACACAATGTTTGTAAAAATGGAAGGTGGTAAGAGATGTATTCTCATTGTATATGTTGATGATATAATTGTCACAGGTGACTGTGAGGAAGAGGTAGATAGAGTAAAGAAGGCTCTTGGAAAGGAATTTGAAGTGAAGGATCTTGGTAACTTGAAATACTTTCTGGGCATGGAGGTTGCAAGATCACAAAAAGGGATTTATATGTCTCAAAGAAAATATGTTCTCGACTTGCTTACTGAAACAGGAATGTTGGGATGTAAACCTGTAGAGACCCCTATTGTTGTGAAGAAGAAGGGGAAGAAATTAATAAAAGATATGGAAAATCAAGAAGATGAAGTTGAACCTGAGGAAAATGATTGTGAAGAGGAAGGAGAGAAGAATGAGCCCGTGGAAAAAGAAAGATACCAGAAGCTAGTTGGGAAACTGATTTATCTCTCTCATACTCGACCAGACATAGCTTTTGCAGTAAGTGTGGCAAGCCAGTATATGTGTGACCCTAGAGAAAGGCATATGGAAGCTGTATACAGAATCCTAAGGTACTTGAAGGGGACACCAGGTAAAGGATTATTGTTCAAGAAGCAAAGTCTACGATCAATAGAAATCTACACAGATGCAGATTGGGGAGGAACATACAAGGATAAGAGATCAACGTCAGGCTATTGCTCATATGTATGGGGAAACCTAGTTTCATGGAAGAGTCAAAAGCAAAGAGTGGTCTCAAGGAGTAGTGCAGAATCAGAACTAAGGGCGTTGGCCCAAGGTATATCAGAGGTACTATGGGTAAGGCGAGTACTAGATGAGATATACGTCAAAACTGATCTTCCACTGAAGTTGTACTGTGACAACAAAGCTGCCATAAGTATGGCGCTAAATCCAGTTCAACACGAAAGATCCAAACATGTGGAGATTGATAGACATTTTATAAGGGAAAAGGTTGAAGAAGGAATTGTGTGCCTTGTCTACATACCAACAAAGCTTCAAGCTGCTGACGTACTCACCAAAGGATTACACAAGCCAGCATTTGATAGTTGTATAAGCAAATTGGACATGATTAGCATCTATGATCCAACTTGAGGGGGAGTGTGGTTGACCGTATATTTAATGTAAATATTATTTATTAATAAAGGGGATACTGTGGGGAGTAAAAATAGGAATTTTGTAGATATCCTATTCCCGAATATCCTCTCCTGATTCCATCTCCTGATTTCTTGGAGATTTGATCATCTTCTCACATGTATAAATCAGTGTACATACTCTGGGATTCAATAAGAAGAGTTTTTCGGTCTATTTGCTACACAACACAACAGAAAAACTTGCAGACAATCTTTCTTTCTCTTGGGTTTTCATTGTTTTCTTTGTTTTTAGATGATATCGAAACCCTAGACTTGCTTTAAGATCAAGTACATAAGCATATTGCCGTTCCATTACAGCAAAGCACCTACTTTTTCCCTCCAATCCCCCCACCCCCCCAAGTGTGCAGGATGTACAAAAAAATAAAAATAAAAATAAAAATCAATATATGTTAGACCTCAGATATTACCTGGTTCATAAACTTTGTTGTAAAGGATATGCCAAACTTGGTTGGAACCATTGCAATGCCACGCTTTTTCCACCGGTTATGACCATTGAATAGGTCAACTTCTTCACGTAACTTCGCAAAGTTACAGGATAACTTGAGTTCATTCCATAGCTGGACTAATGTACAGTGTTGAAGCAGCTGGCCATAATGCAACACAGATCCCTCACCTTGAAAATTTATTTCCTGAAAAGAAACTTGGGTTAGGAAAATTTACAGGGAAATCCTACGAAACTATTAGTGATGATACTAAAAATAATTCACAGGTACAACACAATAAAGAATAAATACCACAGTTCTATATCTTACTCTTATCACTTCTGGGCTCTTCTTGACTTCCATAGCAATTCTTTGAATCCAATTTTCAGCAATAAGCATGCCTTGAGGACCACCAAATCCACGGAAAGCAGTGTGACTAGGGAAATTAGTGAAGCAAACCCTTCCAACTATTCTCATGTTTGGTATTTCATACACATTATCTGAATGAAACATAGCCCGTTCAAGAACCGGAAGAGACAGATCCAACGAATTTCCACCATTGTTATAGATCTCCAGATCTAGTGCAAGCACCTTCCCCTCATTCGTAAATCCAACCTGAATCAAATAATTTTGAACCACATTATAAATGAAGCAAAAAAAAAGGTGTTATTCAAATGTAAACAACACAGGTTAAAAAAATAAAAATAAAAGTAAAAACTGTAAACAACAAGATAGAATAATAGAAACACTAATCAAAGGGGTGCAAGAAGCAAGGTATAGTTTATCTTTTGTTCTTTGTCCAATATTGATTTGTTTTAGCTTTATTCCCCAAATCTTTTACTTTCAATCATTTCATGAAGAAACCAGGGCATAGTTCATCTTCCACCCTCTGTTTGGTGCAATATTTGCTTAGATAGGAGAGAAAGAAAGAACGATCTCTCTTTCCTTATTTAGTTCCATGAAGGATACAAAATGAAACTCAACTCACCTTAATAAAATGTAAAATTACTTTTGTATCCTCAATCTTACTGAACATTTTTACTGAGAAAATACTATATTGATATAGATATGCATTTTATTTATCTTATTTTTTATGCTTATTTTTATAATTAAATTATAATAATTATTTCTTTGATTTTCACAGTTTTTTGCTGTATCAGGAACATAGCCATTGTTACAAAAAGTTGGCATGAGTAGGGTTCTCATCACTTAAACAAGTTATTAGAAGTTTGAATCCTAAACCTTGTGTATGCGATAATTTAGTTGGGAGAAGCCTACTATTTGCCTTCAATACCTTAAGGGAGATAATCTCTGTGCTTGACAGAGCTTACTCCTTATGCTCACCAAACAAAATGAAAAAGTCAAATGGTGCATTGGGTGGTGTTCACCAAATTCTTCTCTCCTTCCCTCTTCTTTGCACTCCTAGTTGGATGGACTGGACAGGTGTGCAGACCACATTTGTTTCCTTTCTATTACTTTTCTTTTCATTCCTCCCTCTTTTCTCCTACCAAGCACACCTTGAGATTTATTTGTTTTAGCTTTTACTCAAAAGTCAAAAGTACTGGAGTGATGTCTTCGCATCCTCTGCTTCAAGCCTTGTACTCTCAAGGAATAACCATTAAGCCATAGACAAAGTACACAACTTCAGTCTTCAACACATTTTAAGAAAATCAGCATGTCAAGGGATTTAGTATTTTCAATGTAATAATATTAGGCCTCAATTTAATCTTAAACCATTAAAAGTACAAGGAGCAATACCTTGTACTTCCCCACAAAACTATGCCGTTGCCCAGTAATCATCATGTCTATATCTCGGTCTAATGTGATTTTCACAGGACGATTTAATAGATATGACGGAACTGCAGCTGCAGCAGCAATGAAAGCTGATCTAGTCTCCTTTCCCCCAAATCCACCACCAATTCGTTTTGTTTTGCAAACAACCTTCGACATAGGAAGACCAAGAACAAGTGAAACATATTTCTGGTGCTTCTGTGGGGCCTACAAAAACACACAGACTTATAATATGAGAGGGTGGAAAAGAAAAGGCCACAAAATGATAAATACACTGTTACATAAGCATATATTGTTAGGATAGTAAAGAACTTGAGAAATCAAATTTTAAAAAATTTTATAGGAACTTAGCATAAAAGCGTTAAACATGATACAATAGGGACGGTAATGAGCTTAGTAATCATAAGGAACTAGGATACTCTCCCCATACCACCAACACGAACAGAAATTTAGAATATCAAGATATAATATCAGAGATTGCGTTGAAGGGAACAAGGCCAAGATACATCGTCCATCCCCAGAACACAAGTGACTACAATTTAAATTGATGTATTTTCAATAAATAATGGCAATAGAATCATATGGCATGTAAACTAGTTGCTAGTACTTGGCTCTTACATTCAGCCATGGAACAATAAATGCACAAACAATCACTTGTAGGAAGAGATGAAACTAGTTATAGAGGTCTATAAACCTACCATTTTGAATGCTTAGATTGTATATGTGCAGGATGCAGGTCAGTCATAAATGGCCAAAACCTAAAACCTTTTTCAATAAGTAATTGGTATCCGATAATATGGAACTAGCAAAAGATTTCAGATAACTACGGTTTTCATAAGTAGCATGTACTATATTTTACAGGTACTCACTACAAGAATGTACAACTTACTTGAGTAGATGAGATCATATGAATTTCATTGCCACCATCCAGTGTCCATATAACAGTGCTATTTGGCTCCAAATAAAAGTGTTCTTGACCTCCTATATGAACCTCCCCTTCAATTATCTTGTCACACTGACCAGACTGAAACAAGTGATCTACATCACCTTTTATCAAACATCTCTCTGTATTAGGATGAAAACTTTTAGCATTAATTGCATCTTGTATTGACAAGATGGCTGGGAGCTCTTCATACTCAACATGAACTTTTCTCCCTGCTAGCTTTGCATTTTCATGAGTATCCGCAACAACTACTCCCATAACCTGTAAATACTCGCATAAACCCCATGGGAAGAAAGCAGAAGCATTCCTTTTCTTTCAGCTCTTCAAGCTCAAAATTGTTAAAAATACAAATCAGAAAACAGCTAAACATCCATTTTAAATAATCTAGATACCTGACCCACACAAGTGACATATTTTTCAGCAAAAAGCTCCTCATCAGCAACGACTGGTCCAATATTATTAACACCCGGTACATCTTTTGCAAGATAAATACCAACAAATCCTGGTGAAGACTCAGCCCCTGAAACATCAATTGAAAGTATTCGAGCATGTGGTTTTCTACTCAACACTAGGGCTGCATGCAGACCATTAGAAGGAATTTTTGTATCATCAGCATATTCAGCCTCACCAGTTACCTGAGCATAATTTATCACATTCAAACATGAAGTCAAGAAGGAATTCTAAGAAAACAAATTGATACATAGCACAATTAACTAAAATAATGTTCAGATATAATTTAGTAGAAGAAACCACAGGGGCAGATCAAGTGACATTATATATATATATATATATATATTATATACAAAAAAAATATCAACATGCAAGTAAAAAAAGGATGCAGGCTCGCAGGTTCCATGAATTCTAGCAAGCAAAATGACTATGTCCCATTCAGAAGGTCTCCCATATGATCATGTTGAACAAAAAATAAGATCCTAAATACTTCCAATCTGAAATACATGTAACTAACAAGAAGGAATTTGGGTTTGAATCTTATTATTGTAGGGTCAGAATCCATGTTTCTACATGATTTAGCCGTCACTAGAGTCAAGCTCTGAGCCATGAACCAACATGCAAAAATAATAATGGGAAGAAGCAATGTAGCAATATAGAAGTCAAAGTTTGCATATGTTGCATATGACGAGAGGTTTCATCAGGATTCATCTTAGGATTATAATGTTGCTTTTATAGGTATCATAACAAGGAAATTGGTAGGTGCTCACGATAGTAAAATAGAATAAGAGAAATAAATCTATTAGGAGGGTATGAAACAAGAATCTCGTTCTATACTCCTCTTAATAGCCACGCTTAGGAGAATCTCCAAAGGGTTTGAAAGACTGTTTCATTAATTCTGATATGCTAGCTTCTAAGTTGCTAGTCATATTTATAAAGCTAAATACAATAAAATATTAAATAAAATCTAGATAACTGGATAACTAGATAGATTCTCCTAAAATCCAAGATACTAAAAAATCCAAATATCTAAAATGCTGAATCAAATCTAAACAACTAAATAAAATCTAGGGAAATCTGAATAAAAACTAAATAGAGGAAAATACCAAATAAAATACTAAATAAAAGACTGAATCAAATAATCTATCTTAATTATCTTAATTTATCCTATTTTATCTTTTGATGCTTCATTCTTGAATAAGTCTTTATGGGCACGTTATCTGGAATCTTATCATTACCCCGCCCTTGAAAACTCAACTTGTCCTCAAGTTGAAAAGAGGGGAATTGAACACGCAGGAGGTCGTAGTCTTCCCAACTTGCTTTCTACATTGGTCGCCCATGCCATTCCACCAATAGCTCCAGCGAATGATGACGTGTCCAACGATGATCTAAGACTTGATGGGGCCTCACATGTAACTTAAAATCAGCTGATAGTGGTAAAGAAGCTGGTGTAGTTGGTGCCTCCATCCCATATGCTGGGCGTAAGAGATACATGAAAAATAGGATGAATACGAGCATCCGCAGGAAGTTCCAACTCATAGGCCACCTTTCCAATCCTTCGAATAATCTTGTAAGGACCAAAAAAGCGAGGTGATAATTTTTCAAACTTCCTCTTGGTCAGTGATTGTTGGCGAAAGGGCTGTACTCGTAGCCACACTACATCACCCATGGCATACTCAACTTCTCTCCGACGTTTGTCAGCATAAGCCTTCATCCGGTCCTGAACCTTGCATAAATCGTCCTTCAAGAGTTTGAGCATTGCATCTCTAGTTTCTAGTTGATCTTCCAATTCAACAATAGTGGTTTCACTCCTGACATAAGGACACAAGGGCAGAGGATCTCTTCCATATACTAACTTAAAAGGAGACTGTTTGATTGATGTATGATGACCTGTGTTATACGAATATTCAGCCCAGCAAAGAAACTTGTGCCATGACTTAGGTTGCTCATGTGCAAAACATCGGAGATAGGCTTCAAGACAACGGTTGACTACCTCTATCTAACCATTAGTTTGGGGATGGTAGGCAGTACTCATTTTTAATTTGGTCTGGCTTAATCTGAATAATTCTTGTCAAAAAGAGCTCATGAAGATAGAGTCCCTATCAGATACTATTGAGCGAGGCACCCCATGTAACCTGACAATTTCCTCATAAAAGATGGTGGCCACTTTTTTTGCGGTATATGGATGTGCAAGAGCAAGGAAATGGGCATACTTACTCAAACGATCAACTACTACCAAGATGACCTCAAAACCTCTTGACTTAGGGAGACTAGTGATAAAATCCAGTGAGATATCCTCCCAAATTTGAGAGGGTACAGGTAAGGGTTGCAAAAGTCCTGCTGGTGCCAAAGTTTGATACTTATTTTGCTGACAAGTGGCACAATGCCTCACATATGTCTTTACATCGGCCTTCATAGCAGGCCAATAAAAGTTCTCTGATAGTCGCTTGAATGTTTTAAGAAAACCACCGTGTCCCCCAACTGCAGTCGAGTGGTCTTCTGCTAGTAACTTCGGTCGTAGTTGGGATGAGTAGTGAATGACTACTTTGTGGTCATAAAAGAGTTTTTGATCAATCAAGTGAAATCCAAGTCGAGACGACGGATCTTTCTGTATGCCCTGCATTATTTCCTTAGTGAAGGGATCTAATGCTAATTCAGAGGTGAGATCATGAAGCTCTGTAGCGAAAGGGACTGCTAACTGAAAAAAATCTGCATGCTAGGGCCGTCGTGATAATGCATCAGCTCCCTTATTTCCTGCTCCTGCCTTGTGTATAATAGTAAAATTAAATGGTAAAAGCTTGATGATTAGCCTTTGTTGGGTGTTGGTGGTGACGTGTTGTTGTAGCAAATATTGCAAACTAGCATGATCTGTTCTGACAAAAAAATGCCTCCCGAGGAGGTAATGGCGCCATTTTTATACTGCAAGAACTAACGCTAGGAGTTCTCGATCATAAGTGGATTTGAAACGATTAGAGAATGAAAATCCTTTACTGAAGTAAGCAATGGGATGGTTGTTTTGTAGGAGTATAGCTCCAATACTTTCTGTGGACGCATCGCATTCAACTACAAATTCCTCCTCAAAGTTCGGTAACTGTAAGACCGGTGCCGTCATCAATGCAAGTTTAAGGCGGTTAAAAGCCTACTAAGCTAGTTCAGACCATAAGAAGGCATCTTTCTCAGTCAACTCAGTAAGTGGTCGTGCAATAATCCCAAAATTCTTCACAAAACATCTGTAATATCCTGCAAGGCCTAGGAATCCACGTAACTCCTTTACATTCTTCGGGACAGGCCATTCTCGTACTGCCTCTACTTTCCTAGCCTCAACTTCAACCCCTTGGGCAGAAATGTTATGTCCTAAAAAGGGAACTCTCGGCTGACCAATGAAGCATTTTTTTTAAATTTACACAGAATACATTTTCCTGTAAAGTCTGGAATACGGTGTGTAGATGCTCTTGGTGTGGTTGAAGAGATGAACTGTAGATCAAGATGTCATCAAAAAAGACAAGTACAAATTTTCGTAAATAAGGACGAAATAAATCGTTCATGATTGCTTGAAAGGTGGCTGGTGCATTAGTTAAGCCAAAAGGCATGACTGTGAACTCATAGTGCCCGGAGTGAGTTCGAAACGCTGTTTTGTAAATATCATCAGGTGACATCCGAATTTGGTGGTATCCCGATCGTAGATCCAGTTTGGAGAAATAAGTTGCCTCGTGTAACTCATCTAATAACTAATCAATGTTGGGGATTGGGTACTTGTCTGGAATGGTGATACTATTCAATTTTCGGTAATCTACGCAGAAGTGTCATGACTCGTCTTTCTTTGCAACCAGTAAGACTGGGCTGGCAAACGGACTGGAACTGGGTCGAATAAATCCCTTTTACAGTAATTCTTCGACTTGTTTCTCAATCTCAGTTTTTTGATAATGAGGATATCGATAGGGTCGTAAATTGGGTGGGTTGGCTCCTGGTTGTAGGGTAATGGTATGGGAGTGATTTCAGAAGGGTGGCAAATTTATGGGTTCTTCAAAGACGGCAGGAAATGTGGCAAATAAAGGTTCTGGGTTGAAATATTGGGAAGGTTTAGGGTCAGCGGAAGCTTGCATTGAATTAAATTGAGCACCTTTAGCAGCATTAGGAACTCCTTATAACTTATACCTCTTGCCATTCACCCAGAAAATCATGAAGAGTTGATTCCAATTGGCTTGCACTGTATTGAGAGATGCTAGCCACTTAATACCGAGAACTAGATCAGCACCCCCTAGAGTGAAGGGGAAAAAATCTTCTTTAATTGTTAACCCCGTCAATTCTACTTCAATATTTTTGCAGACTCGGTTGCATCGCACAATACTACTATCGCCTATTTGGACCCCAAAAGTAGAAATAGCTTGGGTAGGTAGGTGAAGCTGCTGAACCAATGCATCAGAAATAAAATTATGGGTGGATCCACTATCCACCAATAATAACACCTGTCTAGAGCCTAATCTGCCACTTAATTTCATTGCTGAGCCAGAATTATTTCCCAAGATGGCATTTAGTGAAATTTCAGCTCCCTCAGGTTCTGTTTCTTCAAGCACGACGTCATCAAGGGGAGGAAAAATCTCCTCTCCTTCCTCGGTGATCTCCATTAGAGAGAAGGAACCCCTACATCGATGCCCAGGCCGGAACTGCTCCCCACAGCGGAAGCACAGTCCTTTATCTCTCCTTCTCTGATGTTCGATCTCGCCTGGAGGAAGCTTAGAAGGATGCGTATTTGCTGGAGTGAGGGAGGCCGAGGGTGACGTAGTATGCGTCGGGGTCCTGTACGCGTTCGGGCTCGTGTTTGCCGGTGAGAATCCAGCTGACCTCCTCGGTGGTTGATTCAAGTCACGTGCGGTGGCTGAGGACCCATAATAAGGTCGGGTCGGGTTTTGACCTGGATTCAGTTTGGGTCCATTCGAAGTCATCTTCCCTTCGAATTCCAGAGCAAGGCTGAGTGCACGATATACACTCCTGGGCTTGTGAATTCGAACGTCTGATCGGAGCTCCTCCTTTAGCCCACTGAGCCGTCTTCCTGTCGATATTCTTGTACAGAGCCGTCTTGCTTGATTCTGCACAAATATTCATCCAGGTTCTGGTATTCAGGTGGTCCGTAGTTCTCCTGCAGCGCCTTCACTAACTCATCCCAATATAGTAAGGTGCGTTCTGAATTTAACCAAGAGAACAAATCCAAAGCATCTCCTTCTAATGACATAGATGCTATATCCACCTTTGATTCTTCTGGGGTATGATAATACTGAAAATATTTTTCAGCTTTAAGAATCCATCCCCGAGGATCACCCCCGCTAAATTTGGGAAAATCAATTTTGGGTTGAGGCGGACATGACCCCCTCTTGTAATAATCGAATTCTTCTTCACTTTCCTCATCCCAGTTACGGCGTCTGTATCGGCTTTCTGGAGTCCTTCTACTTCTTTGTGTTGCTGATGCTTCTAAGGCTTCTATCTTTTCTTGTAATATGTCGAGTTTCTCTAATTTGGAGGAGATAAGAGCCAGATCGTGTGCAAGCAAGTTAGGATTTTCTGAGGCGATGTTGGATGGGTTATCGGTAGGGTTGGTCTCTTGACCAGCACGTGTAGTGACCATGGCTCTGATGCCAAATTGGTAGGTGCTCACAATAGTAAAATAGAATAAGAGAAATAAATCTATTAGGAGGGTATGAAACAAGAATCTCGTTCTATACTCCTCTTAATAGCCACGCTTAGGAGAATCTCCAAAGGGTTTGAAAGACTGTTTCATTAATTCTGATATGCTAGCTTCTAAGTTGCTAGTCATATTTATAAAGCTAAATACAATAAAATATTAAATAAAATCTAGATAACTAGATAACTAGATAGATTCTCCTAAAATCCAAGATACTAAAAAATCCAAATATCTAAAATGCTGAATCAAATCTAAACAACTAAATAAAATCTAGGGAAATCTGAATAAAAACTAAATAGAGGAAAATACCAAATAAAATACTAAATAAAAGACTGAATCAAATAATCTATCTTAATTATCTGAATAAGAGAAATAAATCTATTAGGAGGGTATGAAACAAGAATCTCGTTCTATACTCCTCTTAATAGCCACGCTTAGGAGAATCTCCAAAGGGTTTGAAAGACTGTTTCATTAATTCTGATATGCTAGCTTCTAAGTTGCTAGTCATATTTATAAAGCTAAATACAATAAAATATTAAATAAAATCTAGATAACTGGATAACTAGATAGATTCTTCTAAAATCCAAGATACTAAAAAATCCAAATATCAAAAATGCTGAATCAAATCTAAACAACTAAATAAAATCTAGGGAAATCTGAATAAAAACTAAATAGAGGAAAATACCAAATAAAATACTAAATAAAAGACTGAATCAAATAATCTATCTTAATTATCTTAATTTATCCTATTTTATCTTTTGATGCTTCTTTCTTGAATAAGTCTTTATGGGCACATTATCTGGAATCTTATCAGAAATCAAATTCATAGTTTCAATATATACATGATATAAAAACTCTAGCAAGCCGCAACATTCATGAGCAACAAATAGTGGCTCATTTCTCATATTTAGTGTAACAATCCACACTTGTTGAGTTGTTGTCAATTAGAAAAATAGCGAAAAACGTTGGATAGGGATCCTTTACAATATCATCATATCTTTGAAAAGTTGACAGCGAGAGAAGCTGAAAGCAAATGCTTGACTGCAATAAGATCATACAATTTATGAATATAAATGAGGCAGAGAAGAGAAAAGGCAGGATTTAGAGTGGTTCGGCCATGATGATATATATCCACAAAGAGAAGAGGGGATAAATCCTTTCCCCTTCATTGATGCTGTATTCAACTACGAAAGAATCTCCTACTTTATAATAATGCTTTTATAATTAAAAATATAATTTCAAAAGTTACTGTAATCATTCGTCCCTTGATCTTGGGAGTAAGATCAACTTCTGAATCAGGAAGAATGAATTATTCCTTGATAAATGCTTCCATATATTCAATTATTCTTATCTTTCTCCTATCAACCAATATTTAGCATTCTTCAACAGACTGATTACAAAAGTTTAGGTTAAAAAAAATGACTGATTACAGAAGTTAATAACAAATCTAGACTAGATTGCATTGCTGCAGATCTAGGGATGAGATTTAACCACACAATTACACATACAAACCTGCAATCTTGCTGAAAGGTGAACCTCAGGAGAACCAACAGCAGTCCCAAGCTTCATGATTTCATACTCCTGACATCCAGTAACTGGTGGACGGTGGACTGACAGCACAGCAGATAGATGTGATACAGGTACACACTCTTTAACGTGCTTCTCTCCCTCCATTTGATGAGACACCCAAAGAAAAAATTTGAAGAAGAAGCTCAACGTCAGAGATTTCCGGAACTCAACCATTCCACCAGGAGCATCTGCCTTGAGAAAAACATCCTCTCGTAGAATTCTCAATGCAGTTTGTAGCAGATCTTGGTCCCATATCTTTCCAAGGAGAAATTTCTTAGTTTTTGTTGCACAAAGAGAAATGGGAGCCACCCCACCATAAACTATTGACGCATCAACAACAACCCAGTTTGCATCATGTTCTTGAAGATGAACACGCATGCCAGCATTTACAATTGCAATATCATCATCTCTTCTATGAGACTGTTTAAATTCTTTCACGAACTCAAAGGCCCTAGTCCATGGTAAGAATACTGATAGCAAGATTTCACTACTTTCCAAATCAACTTTACGATAACTGAGGAAGAAATTTTCTGCCTGTATGGTCCTGATGTTCCCATTGCAATCAACAATACGAAACATTGCTCCAGCTGCCATCCAGAGAGGGTTCAAGTCTGATATTGGACTAGCAGTACAAATATTCCCACCAACTGATGCAACATTTCTTATCTGTGTTCCAGCAAACCATTTCAGTTGCTCAACAAAGGCTTTACAAGACACAGTTTCATGAGCAGCTCGCTCTATTATCACCTTTCGGAAGAAACTCACGAGATCAGAAAGTCTTACTGCAGCACCTATTTCTAGGCCATCTTGCTTTACATTCAAAGCATTCAATTCTGGAACATGCATTACAGAAATCAAAACGTGATACTGCATTCTCTTCTGTCTCATCTCAATTCCTACCTCAGTATTACCAACTAACAACTTTGCATCAGGATATTTGGCTTTTAAATCCAATACATGTTGAAGTTTCAGTGGCCGAAACCATTTTACCCCACCAAATCCAATTAAATTTAAATAAGTCAGTTTCCTTAACATCAGTTCAGGTGGAAAGATGAGCTCCTTTTCTGTATATTTGCTCCCATCTATTTCATTATAAGATGTGGGTCTATGTCTATTGTCACTAAGTATGCATTTTCTGTCTTTATCTACATCATTGACAAAGTTTGATTTACACGTGCAGGGTTTGCCAGTTGATGGGCAAACAGACCCACCTTCAGAGAGACTTTCTGAAGAAACACCAGTATACAACATATCATCAGTTTTAGCAAAGACCTGGAAAGCATCAAGTATTGGTCTGTAACCAGTGCACCGACATAAGTTTCCTGCAAGGCATTCTTCAATTTCCTGTTGGCTAGGAGGTGTTTGACTCGACCTCAATAACGCATACATGGACATAACAAAGCCGGGCGTACAGAATCCACATTGAGAACCATGAGCACGTGCTAGTGATTCCTAAAGAACTCACAAAGTTAAGTTTCAAGCATCAGTGTCAATAAAGATAAATTTTATGAAAAAAGGAAGCTAATAGCCTATGCATATGAAGTTCTAACAAGATACATGAGAAATAAATGGATGGAGAATATCCAAACACAGAAAGAAGACATGCAACTGGAGGGGGGGTGTGCATCACCTGGACAGGATGCAAACCAACCTTGGTGTTTCCCAATCCCTCAACTGTAATCACATGCATTCCTTCAACAGAATATAAGGGTGCTATGCAAGCATTGATAGCATAGTGCCTGGACAAAGAATTTTAAACTTAATGGCAAGTTTGAAATTAAGAAACAGGAAAGGCATTATCAGATGTAGGAGCAGCAAATAAGCATTACATAAGGAAGAAACACTTACACACATTTCCTCATATTTCTATCATATTGAGAAGCCATAACTGTGCAAGCTCCACAACCACCTTCACCGCAGCCTAGTTTAGTTCCTGTAAGACCAATATCTTTTATATGACCCCCTTCCCCCTGGGGGAAGGGGGTATAATTAGTTTCCTTTGTCCAGAAGAAAATTTAAAAGAAAATATGATAGACTCTGTTTTGCTGGAAAAACCTATAAGAGGAGATTCAGAAAAATACAAGAAAAGGGAAAGCATCTTTCTAAGGGGCAGAACGTTGACCTTGCTCTCCTTACTCTTAAGGAGAAAGCTAGTCAAACCTAGTATTGACTCATAGTGGTTTTAGGTCTGCTTTAGCAGAACTTGGTGTGGGAGACTATGCACTTTGCTTTTGGGTTATAGTAGCCGTTAGTTTCATTTGGGGGGAGTAGTCATTACTTTTGGGTTTTGTTCAAGGGAGAGACTGGCTCTCAAAAACCAGAGGGCATGCTTAGATAGCATTGCATGTGTTTGGGTTCCATAGTAGTGTTGTGAGTTCCGGCTGTAACTTGGGAATAGGGTTTGTTTAGATCGCTAAAGTGTCTTTTGTAACATTGATTCAGCCTTTTGGGATTATTATTATCAAACCCCAGTATTTCTCCTGATTTGTTGGTCATTAATCTCTATTATCTCTGCATATTTATCTGTTTAGCAGTAGAGTTCCATCAAAATAAAATTTAACTACCTATGAATAAGAAAGGACAAATGAAATGATTTGGAATTTTTAAATGCTTCAAAAAAGGGCAATGTGATTTTCAGTTCTTTTCTTTCTGTCTTGTCAGGGTCAGTGTTAGTACCTAGGACTACCTAATCAACAACTTAAGAGTATGAACTCGAAGTTCAAAAATTTACCTATTTAACATAAAAGAAACTTAATAGTGTCTGCAAAAACATGGAAACATAGAACACTTGGAGAAGAATCAAATCATTGGTTTAAAGACAACATGTAGGTATTAACACGCACATAGGACACAAACAAGTTACACGACTAGAAAAAGGGGGAAAATTACAAGTTCAACTTACAATTAAATATAGGATAAAAGAGCAAATTGACCCTAAATTATAGATACAAAAGCATCTGAAACCCTAAACTCATTTTTCATGCAATGTTTCCCTTTAACTTTTGAAAACGGTGTAATCTAGCCTCTACTAATAATAAAAGTTGACATTGACTGTTTGTTAACCAAAAAATGACATGAAAGGACATCAAAAATTAAAAAGCAAAATAATAATAATAATAATAATAAAAATTTAGTCCTTTTCTGTAATTTTTTTGATCTTTACTTGTAATTTGTGGATCATTTACTATAACTTTTTGGTCCTCTTTTGTAATTTGTGTGGTCCTTTTCTATTATTTTCTGGTTAATTAACGGTCAAAGTTAACTTTTGTTAATGGTAAGGGTCAGATTGCACCATTTTCAAAGTTAAAGGGAAATATTACACAAAAAATGAGTTTAGGATCCTAGACGATCTGGGACCTATAGTTTAAAAGTCAATTTACTCTTTTACCCTTAAATATATAACAAATCTGAAATGATGGCATGAATCACCAAAATATATCAGTAAATTAATGAAATATAAGATGTTTGTAGATCCAGGGCATGAAGAAACTCAATATTAACAACTTTATCTGCAAAATACTGTCATTGAGGTCAATTATGATAAGAAAGTTTCAATTCTATTCCAGAATCTGTTTTCAAGAAGTCTACAGAGCCAACAAGTCAAAATATCTTTATACCAAATAGCACGGACAAAAATATTTGCACAGTGGTGTTTGGTTCCTGAGAATGCAAAGATGCCATATTCCATCATGAAAAAGTAACATACTGCACTCAAGTCAAACCCAGAAATAATGAAAAGACAAGGAACTTGTTTTCTCTATCTTGATGAATTTTGTTGATTAATTCAGTACTAAACTGCATTTGACCAATCAACAAACACTCAATATCACCTCTAAGGTACTCAAGAAGGGTCAAGTGAGCCAATCCATCTGGCAACACCCTACGAATGCCATTAACATACAATATGGCCTCCTTCGACTCCTCCAAAATTTGGTCCGGCACTTCCGTGTTCTCCAATGACCCCATTTACAGCTTGAGCTGTTCTGTTTGTAACTGTCAATGATAGAAAAGAATGAAAAATCTGGTTCAAAATAGAGTTGAGAATTTGGGCAAGCTAGGCCGTATACAGCCATGATACATAGGGCCCAACCCCAGACATATGGGCTATCAAGCCAGCTGAAATAGCCCCTTTCATTTTTTAAAAGGTAAAAATGACACAATACAACACAATATAATACAAGTTTCACACAAGTTCTATTTCACTACAAGCTTAATATGACACAATACAACAATAAAATACAAGTTTCACGCAAGTTCTATTTCACTACAAGCTTAATATGACACAATACAGCAATAAAATACAAGTTTCACGCAAATTCTATTTCACTACGAGCTTAATATGACACAATACAGCAATATAATACAAGTTTCATACAAATTCAAGTGCAATACAAGTTTCACAAGTCCTCAAATCAGTGCAATACAATCCAAACATTACAAATTGTGGAATCCACGATAAAGAAGCCTTGTTTGCATTGAATTGCTGGGCATTTTATCAGGTAAGCTGAAGCCATCTACCAATCTACCACAATGTCCATCAATGAAATTCAGCAAACTCTAATATTCCAAGTCTGGATTTCTAATAAACTTCAAGAAACGTATATATCATGTACCCATGCTAAAAGAAAAATATGAATTAAAAGAATTAAAGACATTATCTTTTCTGTTCTTGTTTGTCTCTGAGATACATCCAAACGAACATTATTGGAGACTTGAACTAATATTTACCAGTAAAATCATATCTTTTATTACCTTTTGGCCCCTATTATTTTGCTTTCTTGATCACATACTATCTCCCACACAAAGCAGACTGATGAATGCGGCCTCTAGTGTTTTTTTTTTTTTTTTTTGGCTACCTCTTGACCTTAGCTTCAATGTTTTGGATTGCCGCTAGTTCTTCAAAGGGAATCCCCGATTCTTTTCCAGAGATAATTCTCAATTTATTTGCCTATAGTCACATATGTATTTATGTAAATAGCTGCTACATTTTGGTTCATTTTCCTGATTCCTTCTGCCTGTTCGACTGACTATTACTTGATAACATTATTTCAATCCAATCTAATCAAATCTTTAAAAACTACCTAATATAGTACAACAATTTCCCATCAAGAATTTCACATCGACAATAGCAATTTCAAGTCCTACACCAATCTTAGAAACATGCAAAAGTTTGAGATATCAATGTTCCATTGAAATCATGAACCAAAATCAGAGTTTTCTAAATGACCTTCACAACATATAAAAACTGACATATATAGCAAATTAAATGAGAACCGCTATGATCCAAAAGAGAACAAGTCTTGTTGACTTGCTGCTTCTTAATTGGTCTGAAATAATCCACTACCATCAACTAGTAATGCCATCTCAAAGTCTCCGGCAAACAGTTGATAAACGAGTCAAATACAGAACTACGATCGCTCAAGCCAACTGAACCCAGCCGAACTAATCAAGTAATATCAAACTATATCAGATCAGAAATTAAATTTAACCCAAAAAAAAAAAATAGAACCTGAATGGCGAAAGCTGAGATACCAAACAGACCTGAGAAGTGAGGAAGGAAGTCCCACGAGCCAGGAGCAAGGACGGCAGCGCGAAGGCAACGCGAAGCCGTTCAACAAACAGGCCTGAGCTTAACAAACAGGCCAAGGCCGGCAAGAAGAGCGCACAAGGACGATGAATGAGTGATGGTGAGATGGTGGGCTGGTTTCAAAGCCTCGTGTCGTCCTGGTGCGGTGAGACTGTGATCTGTGACAGTGAAAGTAGGGAAAAGCATAGACCAAATGCAGCAAATTTCCTCGAGAATATAACAAATTAAATAAATATTCTCAAGCGATCCAGAGTCCAGAAAACATGCAGTAGGACCAAAGGAATGAAAATTTATATACTTCGCTTAAAGGCGTTCTTGACTCAATGACTGTAATCAAGTTTGACGGTATAACAATCTTGTGTTGATATTTAATTATCGAAATCAATTGTTTAGTCGTGTTAAGTTATATAACATAATTAAAGATTAATGAATGCTTTTGGCAGAATTGGTCTGATGAGAATATGATTATCAAGGACGTAGGACGAGTAATAGGAGCTATAATTCAAGAAAAAATCCGAGAGAGCCAATAAACCGAACTAAGTTAATCTGTACATATGGAAGGAAGACACTAAGTTCTTATTTTAAATTTGTCTTACTATAATCTTTTCACCATTTTCAGGGAAAAAAAAAAGACAAGAAGAAGAAGGAAGACGAAAACCGAAACTAATTTTTTTAAAAAGAAAAAAAAAACGTACTTCCCGCAATGTAGCTAGCGTCCGGAATCGAAATCCAACCAGAAAAGCAAACAGAATTTCCAGGAAAAAAAAAATAGTAGCAACATCAGCGACTAAAATACGTTAATTAAAAATAATAATGTTGCAGTATTTTGATTCATACCACCAACGAAGAACCAGAGCCGATGGAGAACGTGAAGGTCAAACTCCGACGGAAGCTAACGTAGAAGAAGCCAGCAACAGAGAACGAGAACGAAGAAAGAAGGTAATGAGAGGCATGGGAGTTAAGGAAGAAGACGGCACTTGCGATGCGTAGTGAAAAGTGATCATGATGATCACAATTTCTTGGCACAATTGTCGTTTTGCGCTTCGTGTCACTCCCTTACTGCCTTGATGGTAATTAGCAATTCTTTTTTTTTTTTTTTTTGCTAACGATGACTTTTAGGATTTTCGTTCATATTATACCCCTTTAAAAAAAAAACCTCCAAGAACCCCTAAAATATATATATATATATATATATTTTTTTTTTTTCCCCTTACATGTACAAAGTAGAAAAAACAAAATCATTTTTTTTCTTTTCTTTCTTTTTTCCCTCCTAAATTTCCTTTATCCCATCCTTTTTTTTTCATCTACAGTGGAGGGTAGGAGAAGGTTAATAGGCTGTCAGTAAGTCTTAAGCATAGGATGAATAAATATTAAATTTATAATGTTTTTATCCTTAACTATTTTATTTTATATATTTTATATTGCAAAGGTTGCATTAATTTTATTATTTTACATCATATTTATCTACATAAGTTAAATATATAATATTATATATATACACACATATATACTTATTCACGATGTGAATAATAAATATTAGGCGTGCTAGAGATATTGAGTCTCAATTGATAATGAAAGAATTTCAAACTCCTTTACCATAATTCACTCGAATGTAAAAAAATACATAAGACCTGATAGAACAAGTGTTTTTTATTTTTATTGAAATGTAAAAGATTATAAGTCTAACTTGAAGGTAAAAACTAACTACTAAAACTAAAAAGCTATAACTATATAATACGAGTCTTTGTTGAGTATTGCTTGTCTTTCTTTTGTGTTTTCACATCCTATTTATAATGTCAGAATAACGATAGTCTCTCTCTCTTAAAACATAGAATGTTTTGTCGAAGAATTAGGGATCCTACGAGACTTATGGCGTGGTCTTTACTCAGTATTATCCATTTTTAATAATAAGCCCGTCTCATCGAGATGCTTGGATATGATGTCTGTGGATTCCGAAATCACTTAAAATCGTGTCTTTATGTGCTAACAGTTCAATATTTATAACTGGTAGGATTTCGGCATATTCATCCTATTATGGCCTTCTATTGAACTCAGGGTCAGCCCCTTTATTCAAATTGGACCTGACTTTTTAATCACTCAGTCCAAATAACTTTATAATCTATTGAGCGACGTTTTATATTTTAACCTAAACAACACTTAATTTGAAATGTCTAGAAAGTCAAAAGCATTTTTTTAATAGAAAGATAAGTACAAAGTACAAAAAGCAAGAGACAAGGCCAAAATATGATGATTAGACATTATCTCTTTAAAAGGAAGAATTTTATTTAAAGATTTCTATAGATAGATATTTACTTACAGACTCAAAAAATTTTGAAAATACAATGTAAGTTTTGAGAGCTTGATTGAAATTAATTTTTGATACAAAATGATTAGATTGGCCTAATATTTAAAGAGAGAAAAAGCAAATGAGAGCATGTGAGAGAAGCCAAAATCACAAGAAGCCAAAACTAATTAATTTTCCATGACCTACACGAATTATTGAAGCTAATTTTGCAAAAGTGAAAATTGGTTGCTCCAATAATATAAAGACAAAAGCACTTCTTTTATTGTTTTAATTGAAAGACAAGCACAAAGTACAAAAAGCAAGAGATGGGGCTAAAACATAGTGATTAGACAATACTTTTTTGCAAAAGAGAATTTTATTTAAGGATATGTAGAGATATGTTAAATTGAGAGACGTGATGAAAAATTTAAATTTAAATTTATAATTATAATTACGGACTTATTGAATTCATTTAAGTTAAAGTGTATGAAAGAGTTACTTTTTAAGCATTAAATTTCTCACATGTTTTTTCAAGAATTTCTGACATAAGGAGCCAACAATGCAAAATAGCTCATTCTATCAGTATCCACATGAACATCTTTCTAATACGAACAATATGCTAGCACTTCCAACATACAACCATCCATCAATCAGATGCTCCTTTGTTTTCTAAGATATTTTTGTAGCTCTCAGAGTTTTGTGGTCAATAGACTCTTTCACTAGAAACTCATCCTTGATCTATGTTATATAAATTAGGGTTTTAGAAGCCAACTAAATTAAATTTATAATATCATATTTAATTTAAATTTATATCATAAATTTAAATAATAGAACTGATATAATTTTTTTATATTATATTAGTTATTAAATTTAATTTATCGTACAAAACTAAATTTAAAACTAACACAATAATATAATATAATATATCTTATATAATATATCATATATACATATTATATATACACGAATATATATATATATATATATATATTATATTTTAAATTTTATATTTCATAAACATATATATATATATATACATACACAAATTTTATCAAATAAATATTAATGCATATATATAGGAAAAATTAGTCATTTAATCCTTATAGTTTTGACCCAAGTATAACTCAATCCTTGAATTTTGACTCTTTATAATTTAGTCTTTGAAGTTTTGACTAGGTTGTAAATCATTTTCTGAACTTTGTCTCTTACAATTTAGCCCCTAAAATTTCAACTTCTTAAATATTGATCCCTATATTTAAAAAAATAAAATTATAAAAATTGAAAATATTTTAAAAATTATTACTAATATCTTAAATTACTAAACCATTTTAATATTTATAAATATTAAAAGTTCAAAATATTTTTAATTTTTATAATTTTTCACTAACATGATCATTTTATCATCCAAGTCTCCACATCATCTTGACTGAAACTATAGACTCTTAGACCAAGTACACGTTTACAATGGCTCGGCTCACCTTCAGTGATAGGATCACTCGGCCAAATGTGTCCTATCCCATTTCTGGACTATGGTCTCCCCTTATCATACATGAATCAAGGTTTTGTTACCCCAACATCGCATCACTGATGCTAAGGAGTGTCACTCTCCAATGATGTATCCCACATGGATACTAAAGAGATAATCTCCTACACCGTGCTTCACCAAGTATTAAGAAAATATATGCCATATGGACTTCTACTATTCCTTTCTATGGGTGAACTCCCACCCCCTATCATGATCGTGCTCACACATCTCATGCATAACACATATTCATATCAAATTCTCATTAAATTCATATAAGACTTCCACATTCATCATCATTTGAAAATTGTTTCACATGCACAAAACCATAATTCACAATATGTAAAGTTTTTAAAATCATAAGAAGAAAATTTACATATCTACTCACAAACAGTTAAACAATATAATCGAATAGTGTAAATTATTTTGTTACCTCAATCTTTTATCACAAAGGGTTACTGTAGTTCAACGTTAGCTCTTCATGTTTTATACGCACAATAAGGCTCGAGCACACTTAATATACACAATTAATGATAATTATCAATTATCACTCCGATAAAACCTTGAAATCACTAGATTTCAAGTACACATAACACCAAAAATCCTCATATAACAACATCAATCCTTCCAAAACACTCCAACAATCCTATTAAGCATCCAAACATACCAAAATTGTCAACCTACTCTACATTGTCCAGAAACTCTCAAATTATACCTAGGGTTTGCCTAAACCCTCAACAAAAATTTCAAATCCAAACCAAACTTATAAACTTAAGGTTAGAGGCCTAATTTAACTCTTCAAAACCTTATCTAAGTCAATAGGTATGTCCATTACCCAAGAACAACTAAAAACAAGCTTCCTAACACCCTAAAAGTAAAAAAAATTGCTCAATGAGGGAGGAGAGGGTATAGAAAACTTACCCAATGATAATTTAAGTTCTAAATGCTTCAAAATCTCTCCTAATGTCGAGCCTTAGGAACCACAAGCTCTTCCTCTGTCGCTTGTTTTGATTTCTCTCTTTCTCCTTTTTGATTTTTTATTTCAGTCTGTTTCACAACTAATAAAATGCAGAATTGTGTATGTGCATTATGTCGCATTGATGCATCTGTAACGATGCATGGCATAGAGAGTCCCACCACAATTTAAACTTTCCTCCATGTCATGGCCCGCTTGAATTCAAACCTAGCTTTTTTCTAAGGTTGTCCAAGGATTCAAAAACTATATTAGTCTCCTATAAATGTCATTAATCAAAAATTCACTTGAATTTACTATTCTATCCTTATAAATACTTAAAATTCCTATGTTAAAGATTAGGATGCTACAGGTTTTAATGACCTGTTATCCAAATTAATTCTTTTTATATATATATATATATATAATTTAAATCAATTAAAAACATTTAAACAGCATCATGTGATATTTGAATAATCTCCATAGATATTCGTGTCAATAGTCGTATCATGTGTGATAATAAGTTCTCGTAGATGTCTCAATGACTAATTTATATAGTAAATAAATAAATGAGTTTTGTAAATAATAATATAATAAACATTTAAAAAACTAATTAATTAAATTAATGTATTTGAATTATAATCATGTTTACATGATTAGATCTTTTGGTCATATAATATTTTTGAATTTCCACAGACCTCTAAAATAATTATAATATCGTGTGAGTCAATATGACTTTGCAGGTATAACGATTAAGATTTTTATATATAAAAATGAGTTATATATGTGCATGCACGCATAATAAATAAATCAAATTAAAATATATTTTAATAAATATTATTTAATCTTTTTATTGTGCGAGAATTTTGAATCTTTGTAAATATTTAAAATAATTATATTATTGTATAAGTCTATGAAGTTTTACAGGTATGACGATTAAGATTCTCTTTAAAAATATGTATGTAGATGCTTAAAGAATTAATAAATAAATTAAGCCATTTGATTTTTTTTTGTGAGATTTTATAATTTTTGCAAACAATAAGAAGAATCATATTATTGTGTGATCCAATAAGATCCCACAAGTATAACAATTAAATTTATGAAATATATAGAAAAAAGGAAATGATTTTAAATCTTTTATAAGAGAATATTTCTTTTTCTTTTTCTTTTCCTTATTTCAAAAATTCAAAAAATTGGGAAGATAATTAAAATTAAATTATTTCTTGTGAGATAAAACATGCATATCAAAATTTCAAAAAATTATTTTGTTTACAAAATAGTAAATTATTTTTATTTAATTTCTCTCTAAAAAAATATATTTACTAACAAACTTATAGTCTTGAACTACATTGACTTTAACCCCCTGCAGGATACATGAGCCCTAAAATCTGATTTTGGGTCAAATCCACCCTTGTAAATGAATAACTATTTCTTTATTTTTTAATGTCTTACACATGAATGAGAAATGGTAATTAATTAAAATAACTTTAAAGTCATATTAATCTAGCACAATCAACTTCAGGTAACCGTTCTCACGAACAGATGTTGTAAGATACCTAATACTTTCCCTATACTCAATCAATTTTCAAACCTGTTTTCTGATTTCACAAACCAACCATATCTCTTACAAGTAGTTTTTAAAGATTATTTTTAAAATTTTGGTGATGATTCTCATTCAATTGATTTTCGCTTTGAAGGCTGAAACCTCTGTTCTCACATGCCGCTTGTGTTGCATTTTTGGGTGCAACACATACTGTCACACGGGAATAAATTTACATATAATACATACTTGCTTACCTTCCTACTTAATATTTATGGTAGGCCTGTATACACACGCACGCACATCCTTGCACAACCCTGCCCTACTCATAACTGGGATACACTTGACTTTTTTATTAGGTTTGTTATCTATTTTTCTATGTCTGAAATTCCCACAGGGTTATGCAAAGGACGTATAAAATATTTACAACTGGTCATGTAGAGCACAGGCAGCTCAACTAGTTTCATGCCAAATGCTGAACTCTAAAAGGGGTTTCCATTTATGGGCCTCCATTTATGTCAAGCAATTTTTTTTTTAAAAAAAGAACTTCCATGGAAGACTTGGAGTTGTGCAAGATGAAACAAAGGGACATTGCTTCTCAAATTGAAGCTTGATTGAAACTCTGAATATTACCATGGTTGACCTAACCAATATATATATATATATATATATCACTCTTGACTATAAAAGCTGGGCCCCAATCACCTCTCCTATTTTTCAAGTGAAGTTGTTGACAGAAACTGTTGTCCAAGGGCATTTACAATGATATAGTGATTGTAATTCTCAATGTGTATACTGTATTCTATCGATCATATCAGTGTTCTCCTAATATTCAGGTCTACATCTGCAAAAAATAAATAAATAAATAAATAAAAATTCAACTGTCATATAAACCTTGAACAAATCAAGGGAGTACAGCCAACCCCATTTCGCGCGGAGGTAATCATACTCTACGCCGATATCCCTGTTGCTTCCTTCGGAATTAGAAAGAGAAAAGCAATGGGCACAGAATTGCAGATTGCATGAATGATGATGCCCAAGAGAAGATTGTCAAATGATCTTGAATCAATGTTGAGTATAGAAGCTAACCCAGCACCCACAAAAGATCCCAATGTTGACCCCAAATTATTTATTGACATGAAGAGAGCAAATAGAGTCCCTTCTATTCCTGGAGGGCATAACTGTCCAGATATGATCAGAAAAGGCATGAACCTGCAGTTCATGCGAAACAGGGTAAGAATTTGGGATTTATCACACAAAAAATGGATCAAGCCATATATTTCTGCAACAAAATCTCAGGTTATGCAATACATGTGCCTATGAAACAAAAAACATGTTTCATGTGTAAGCACAAAATAAGATATCAAAAAAGAAATCTCTAGGTAGACCTAATATAAAGTTTTGATGCCAAACATGCACGACTAAGCATGTAAGCATATCAAAGGCAGATTCCACCAGAAAACGTGTCTAACATGCTTAACGTCTATGAATTATGAAATATAAGCTTGATCTATGAAACTTTCCTAGATAAGTGCCTGAGAATTTCTCAAAGTAAACATCTTTTGTTTTCTCAACTTCGCAGCTTCTAGCGTATATTTATATACAATTACTAAAGAGGGAAAAATAAGCAAATCAAAACAGTACAAGATAAATATGCTGACTTTGTAGTATGGTATAGGTTAGCGTCACGAAAGTTGAGGGACCATCGTCATATTTATTTATCAAATTGATTCATATTATATGAGATGAAAATGCAAATGGGGCAGAACTGTCATCAAACAAATTAATAATTTAAATGATTTTATAAACTTACCTATGTTTTCCTTAAAAATGCTCCTTCTGATCCTTTTTATAAATTACTTCGAATATTTTTACTGAATTAAAGAAAACTTTAAACCTTAGTAACTTTGTTTAAAAATTCAACAAATTTTTAACTTTACTTCTATTATATATACATACTTTAAAAATAAAATACTATAGCATTTAATAACCTTTCTAACATTTAATAGGTACAAAAAGGTAAAAACGAATAAAATAATAATTGAAATGCTCTATAAATAGAACTAAAATAAATCTTCTCTCTCTTTCTAATAAATAAGACCAGAGGATTAATGTTTAACTTTTCAATATAACACATCTTTAACAAAAAATAGGGAAGAAAACTTTAAAGAGGAGAAATAGCATACTTAAATTGATTGATTGCATCAGCAAGAGCTGAACCCCAGAGCACCATAGTCTTGTCTGATATTCCATATGTAGTATTCATCCTAGAGACCACAATAATTTGCTGAAGATTCACCAAGGACAAACCAATATTAGCACACCTGTAAACAGAATAAAAATAAATAAATAAATAAGCAAATTAAACATCCAAATGAAAATCAACTCCAAATAATTATAATCCTTGTTTGTTTACATGAGAATTCTTCGTAATTTCATGTACTTAAAGTGGTGATTGTAAATGAAGGTTCCAAGCATAAGTCCAAGCCATCCAAAAACACGTGCAGTTCCCAGGAAAGATGCTTCTAACTTCAGAACTTCAGTTTGATAGTAGAACACAACTGTTGAAAGATCAGGGTTGATGACATGAGCGAGGAAAAACCAAGACATCGGTCTGCCCATCCCAATAGAAAAAAAGGATTAGTACTACCATGAATCGAAGAGAAAAGACAACTTGTGACAGTAAATTTATAGCACGAATCTTCTACACAATGCAATGCCCCCCAATCCCCCACATGCAAAGAAGTTGGAGGAAGAGGAATAGAAGGAAGCTTGAATCTCCCAAATCATATCAACCAAAGAGTACTCTAGAGGAATACCCAGTTTTTATTGGTTCTCAATCATTGAAGACATTGCGAGAATGAATTCAAAACCACCATTTTACATCAAAAACTCCCGAAACTTAAAAGTTCTCAGGGATCCTCCCAAGTCAGTAATTTACTTCGCACGAGCAAACCAGGCTGGAGCTAGCATCAAAATGTTGAAGAGGCCAGAGCTTAAATATTGAGGCATTAAAGAAAATACAATATTACTTTGGGCCAAACAGACAAAAACCTTTCCCCCGTTAACAAATGAAGGAATATCAACTAAAATATAAATCGCAACAAATAAACACCTCCCCCACCCCCTCCCCCCCTCAAAAAAAAAAAAGGGACAAAAAGAGAAGAAATGCAGAAATGTAAAATAAAACGCAAGAAAAAAAAAATTAATTCATGGGAATTTTGAGATAGAGTATGCTTTGCTGTGAACAAACTGCCAAGAAACAAAACAATATATCATACAAAGCATGTTAAATTTCACATTAAAAAATTTGTAAATGTTAACATTTCTTCACACTTCACATTTGTCTTTATGAAATAAAAGACATCTCATAAAATGCAAAAGCACACTAGTTAATCACTTAAATAGAGAACTTGTTAGAAAAAATGAATCAGGCTTCTATGTAAAAATAAATAAGACAAATCTAACAAAAAGTAAACAATTTTAGTCTACTCTACAACAGAATGATTGATATGAAAAAGGAAGACACTACCAAATAATATGCAATAATATTCCTCTGCTTTTAGGTTAAAGGAAAAGGCAGATCTTCAGGATCTAGAAACAGTCATGCTATTTATATAATAAGACTTAAATGGGTAGAATGCCCTCAGAAAAGATTGCCTCTAACTTAATGAATACAACTGGCGTTGACAAAATCCTAGGTTAAATAAATTTGCAAAAGAAAGTACCTTAATATCATTGGCTGTCTGAAAGCACGACACAAATCATAAATTGCATCTTTTATAGAGTGACACTGCTTCAACGTCAAAGAATCATCTTTTTCAACAATATCTGATTTTCGGGTCCTCACAGCCAACCTTTTGCCATTCTTTTTGCCCTTCTTTCTTCTTTCAATACTTCTATTAAACTTTTCGATGAAAGGACTATCTTCATCTGAAGTACTCCCGTTTGAAGTTGAAACTCTTGAAATATAATACTCTTGAAAATTTTTGCTATCAACAGATTTCTCAACCACAAATTGGCATGATATTAACTGAATGGTTGGTAGTACAGCAAATAGAAGAAAAATTGTATCTATTTGTAAATTGGACAATACATAGCCTCCTAACAAACTACCACATATGCCTCCCAAAGCCATCGCCATCCAAGATATTGACTGAAGATCTCCAGCAAATAAAGCCCTGACCAAATAACACAGTACTCAATCACAACGTGTTTAAGAACAACATGCATCAGATATTACTTCCCCTAATTAAATGGTCCTCACCAAAGAGTAGGCACAAACTACAGCTAAGAATCATCTGCCATAGTGGAAACAAACATAAAAAATTCAGATAAGAAAATTTTTTCTTTAAGCCATACCTTATCTGCACATCTCATTTTGGAATTAACTAATTTGGTATTTCTTATTGAATAGATCTCACTCCAAATTTTCTATATTAAAACTTTAGCTGCAAACACAATTTATTGTATGAGTTTTTGAAAATAATAGGTTCAGAACTATTGAAACAATTCCTTTCAGAAAAAGTACCCCCTTCAATAATTCATTATATTGGGAGATTGATAGCCCCTACTACTCAAAGGCTAATCCAATGCAATCATACCAGATTCAAATATAAATATTGCATTTAAATCCAAGGAGAAAAATTTGTTTGAAATGACTGTGGATTTGTGAATGTAAATTTGCATTTGATGAAAGAGAATTAATAGAAGAATATCACACATGTAAAACCTCAAACCCAAAATTTTGGCGTAAATAATTTTTATTTTTCTTAATGATAGGAGTTAACTTACTCTCACTCAATTCAATTCTCCTCCAATCTTAAATCTATTTTTTTTTTGTCTTCACTTCTTTGGTGATTAATAATTATGCACTGCCACAGCTTTGATATTATAATATATATTTCAACATTTTATCATATAGGTATAGATATCTTGATTTTTAAACAAGTATTTCTAAAGTAATATAAGAATATTTGTAACAAGAATCCAAATATTAAGTTTTTTTCAAGTTTTTAAGTAATAAAGAAAAGTCATAATGCAAATGTTAGAACACGCGATACGTAGTATTGTATGAGTATCGTATCAGATATGCATCCAATAAGGATATGTTTACTTTTTTGAAGTGTCAATGCTTCATAAGTATTTAGTTTATGATTTCCCCATCCCCTGTTGTTCTGAAGATATCGAAAGCATATTAAGTCTTTAAGGCAAGGCGGCTAGACTTAATTGCTTTCTGTACATTCACGTTTCTGGAGACCTTAATTTTCTGTTGTCTTTAGTACTATTCCAACATGTTATTCAATAACTGTGAAACCTTGTGCACGTGCGCAAGCATGTGATACAACATACTAAAGTTCTTTTGGCAGATGATTAGAAAGAAGAAATCAGTATACAAACATACCGATCATATCTTGCTGCCTCAGCTATCATTGCATCGACCACAACATCTGCCATGGCTGAGCCCAAGTTTTGCACTGTTAAGAATATCATCAGATGCCATTTAGAATCCCTAGAGGCTGAATTTGAGCCTAAAATAAGCCATGGAACTAGAGAAAGCACAGTTGCAATCACTAGGTAGGGAATTCGTTTTCTGCCCCTAATTGGTATACAATCAGACATTATTCTGCATAGCAGTAAGCAAATCAGCTTGTAAGGAACCGGCACAATTGATGTAGTAAACTTAAAGGCACTAGCATGTTGAAGAAAGAATCTAAAATGCACTAGCATGAACCACAAATGCCTGTTTCACATCTTAAAAACATTTATAAATGAAAAGAAGTCCACTGATAAGGATTTTTCAAGTAACATACATTCAAAATTTCAAAGAGTAGCCCATAGATCAGCCACAAAACAGACTTGTAGATTATATATTTTTTTACAGTATACTTCTACCAATTCCCCAATATTTTTCCTCTCCTTTTCATGGACAATTCGTGTCCAATTACCAAACTTCCAAAAATTTGTAAAATGCAAATTAACTTGCATTGAAATGACTCTAGATGATTTTTTTTTTTTTAAATTCATCTACACTACATGCTTCTTTGCTGGCTAAATACCAACTCTAGCACTACTCTCTTCCCAATTAATCATACTCCTTGGCACCAATTACAGAAACTTGGAGTCAATTATCTTCCTCTCCCTATGACTCCACATTTAAATTTATATCCTAACTTAATTTTTTTTCCTTTCCCACAACCCCTTTCTCTCTTCCTCATACTAAAAATCAAAATAATTTCTATGTCATTATCTGCTTTGTAGGAAAAGACGATAACATTAAACTGACAGTCTGAAACAGTGTTCCTACTGTTACGGTGCCATATCACTTCCAAACAAATATCTAGTAATCGTAAAACAACATCAAAACAGAATTATATACGTTGACATCAAATGTAGTTCTTCCTCAAGCTACATAACAAATTAGTTAATGCACACATGTAAAAGTCTTATTATCAGTGCATGTTTTTATGTATTAATATTCAACAACAGGTAAAATCCAATGAACCATACCCATATAATGGTTTAATGCTCCATGGAAAAAATGCTATAGAAGATACATATTGAGATGCTGCTGGTGACAATTTAAGTTTATCTTTGAGTTGGTAGGAAATTGCCGTCCAGACAAAAGACCTGAAACCCTGCATCTGAAGAGTTAATATAGTGATAGCATAGAAGAAAATTGGAAATTCAATTTTGAGTATCTTCGTAAGAACATTCCTAAACTGTAACTTTTTAGGATATTTTTATATACGGAAATTAAAATCCCTTAATTTAAGAAGCGGGGTAAGTTAAGATAAATGACAACTTTACGTAAAAATGTATAGGGGTCAAAATATGAAATTTAAATTAAAATGCTTTATTAAAACATAATGGCAATATAGATGGAGTAATAATAATGTAAAAAACAAAAAAGGATTCCTATCTTAAAAGAGTTCCAATCGTAAGAGAGACAGACATTGAAATAAGTAAAAACTAGTAGCAGTAACCTAAAAAGTTAAGAACAGAACCACCAATTTATACGGTGGAACAAAAACAAGCTCATGAACACTCAGAAGATGAATCCTTTCTCTATGAAATTGCGATTGGCAGCTGCGGCACATACAAAAATGGAACGCACCAAACTCGAAAAAGAGAAAAACCATGAATCGACCTCAACTAAATGTAGCAAAATCAATATTTCAATATCAAAATAATTCGAAGATTTCCAAAAAAAATTGTGAACCTAGCCACGGATCCTACGCAAAGATTCAAATATTATCAGGAAGGCGATGAAGGATGCAGAATTGGAACCTGAGTGAAGTAAATCAAGCATATCAACCAAAGAAAGGAGGCTCCAAATGCGGATATTAATCTTTTCGTCCATTTGATCATCTTCGAAAAACCATCCACCGGAAAATCTATTCTCTTCAAACCTCTGCTGCTGCTCTATCACGCAAATATTCTATGCCATTCTCTGTCTCTTTGGTTCCGTTGATTTGAAGCGGTGAAGTTCCCTCCCAACGGCTTCGACCATGGGGCGTTATTTCGTTTTGACATTTATATCCCATGTTGAGCGTGCAGAAGTCAAGCTGCAATTCGAAAATGCAATTTTAATATGCAGGGACTGTCATGTAATTTTGATTTTACACGTCCATAAGTCGAACCAAATGTTGCCACATAACCATTCGACCCCACAAACATTGCGATGACGTTATTGGGAGAAGCTCAGAATATGAATTGGGCGTTTGGTTTGGGTGCTCATGCGTTTGGCTTGATGGGCACCATCATCTGGACCGTTGACTTTAATAATTTATTTTAATATTTTTATTTTATATTTATTATAAAAAATTATAAAATTTTAATAAATATATCTTATCATTAATTTAAAAAATACAAATTTAATCTGATAGGTCTAATTTAATATTAAATTTATTTATAATTTTTATAAATTGACTATCCAAATATATTCTAGACCCTTTGAATTTAATAATAAATCTTTTAGAATTTTTATAAATTTTTATTTTAGTAAATATAATATTAAAAATAAAAATAAAGATAATATTCAAAGTGGCACTTTAAAAAAATAAGAAAAAAATTGTAATTTGAAAATTTTAAATCCAAATTGTTCAAAGTACATTTGAATAATCAATTTATAAAAAATTTAATATTAAATTGGACCATTCACATTAAATATGTATTGTTCACATTGATGATAAAATAAATTTATTAAAATTTTATAATTTTTTTATAATAAATATAAAATATAAATATAAAAAAATCTTAAAATTTGAACTATTCAAATTTTTTAGGTTGCCCAACATGTGATGAGCACCGAAACCAGCCTCTAAAACACTTCAAGGGAAATAATTGCATGCACAGCCCAAAATAAATTTGAAAGGGAGAATATCAACAAAGGATCCCCTAAAGAGAAATGATCGCATGTGAAACGCATTATTTTGAAACTTTTACATATGCCATAGGTTATCATTTGGAATTAAAGCTTCTGGTTTTTCAATTACTAAATGTCCTTGGTTTATTAAAAAAATAAAAACAAAACCCACCACCACGTGCCAGTGGAGTTCCAGCATTGATTATTGAACTGTTTTATATAAGTTTTGGTAATGACAAATATTATAGAAGTTAGCTATATTTAAGCTTTAATGTTTTCATATAGATAGTAGTTAATTATAACTATGGGACAAGTATTTTAAAATGTTTCACTTATATTATTTCATATTATAAATTTTGGGAGAAATTGTTATTTGTGCTAAAACATCTTCTATATTTTATTCAATCATTTTTCTCCATAGATAATTGAGCTTAAGCCATATTTATAGATAATTGAGCTTAAGCCATATTTATATTCAGATTATATGTTCAAAATGATAAAAGCATACACATACATAAACACAAAGTATTCTTCTCATATGCATGACATAATATAATATCTCATATATTTGCTCTTATGCATATTGATTGGACCATGATCATTCACACATTTAATATATCAAAACACTTGGTTTTGATATCAAATTGTGCAAATTAGGGTTTCATTCTTGGTTTTCTATTTTAATTATGTGAACTCTAATCTTGCTAATTGGTGTTGAATTGTTACTTTCAAACCCTAATTTGATATTTTGGGCATTATTTCTTTTCTCTTTCATTTTAATTCTCCATTTTTAGAATTTATTTAGTCTTTGTGCTTTTATTTTCAGATTTTGTAAGGGCAATTGTGTAATTAATGATCAAAGGCTAAGTCACCTTGCTTAGAGGAATTGAAGAGATAGCAAATAAATAAAGGATGAAGAGAAGGAACTGATTAGCGTGAATCAAGAGTCTATGTTGCACAAGCTTAGGCAATTTGGTGCAAATGAGCATGGAACACATTAAGGATACTTAGCATTTTCAGATTAATTGAGGAGATTAATTGAATAAATACAAAGGAGTATGGGAAGTGTAACATCCTGAATTTTTTAATCCCATGATTAGCTGTTAATTGAGGGTAAAGTGGTAATTAATGTGGGATTAGAGATTTAGATTACTTGATAGGTTGACTTGTTGGGATGTTGTATGAACAGGTATAGGTGAAAAGATTGCGTTTCGAGTCGAAGCAAGTGCGTGTGGTGAGAATTATTCTCACTGTGCCATACACTGTGGCTCGTACTGCATGCACCATGGTGGATGGACCAGAAAATGACTTCTTAAGTTGTGAAATTTTAGAAATTTCAGAAGGAAGAAATTGAAGGGGAGAAGAGGAGAAGGGTTGGTGTGCTAGGGCAAGCCATTTTAAGTCATTGGAAGGTACTTCTGATCGATAACTTAGTAGGTAAGCTATGTATAACCTTTACTTTCCATTTTACCCAAATTTCTCTAAATATGAGTTATAGAGAAATTGAATCGATGAAATTTTAGTGTTCTTAGGAGTTAAATTAGAGTTTTGCGATTGGTTTAAAGCTGAACGTCAGAGCTTTGAACTCGTAGGCTTAATTTGGCCTTGAGAGAGAGAGATTTTAGGGTGAAAATTTGATTTAACTGAAATGAGACCAGTTGAGGTGATGTAAAGTAGTAATTGAGTAGTAGTGGACATAAGATGGATAAATGGAAAAGAATACACGGCTAAATATAGCCATAAGTAGTGAAAATTTGTTTTTGGTCAAATTAAACCAAATGACTGAATTGTACTAAATGTGTTCAAATTGGCATATTGAGTGTGTGAGTTAAGAAAGGAAGTTTGTGACAAGCTATAATAGTAGTTCAAATCCATAGGTAACCTTTCTAGTGACAGAAGGGTTGAGGTAACTAAATAACTTCCTTTGTTTGACTATTTATTATAACTATGTGTGAGTATGTTATGTAGTGCATAAAAGTGTTTTGAGCTAAACATATTTTATAGCATTGTATGAATGTTGCATGAAAATGGCTTTTGAGCAAAGAAATGAGTAAGAAAAATGTGATTTCATATGGTATGTATGTATGTATATATATATACATATATGTTATGCGTGAGAAAGTATATAAAATGGGGATTTGGAACCTATGTGGTTCGAAAAGCATGATTATATGGGTGGGAGTTCACCCAAGTGGAGAGGTGGTAATAATATCATATGACATATTCTCTTTAGTACTCGACGGGGTGTGGTGTTAGAGAATTATACCTCCTTATTGCCTTTGGAGATGTAGTGTTGGAGAAGATCTCCTTAGTGTTTGTTGAGGTGCGATGTTAGAGATATGGGACTCCTTAGTGTCTGTGTGACATGGCATTGGAGTCAACGACACCCCATTGTATGTATTGGGGGAAACTATAGTTCGAATGTGAGATAGAACACCTTTAACTGGGTGCTTCTACCATTAAAGGTGAGCTTAGGGCCAACGAGAGTGTACATTGGTCTAAGGTGAGCTTATGGTTTCATGTTGGGATGATTTGGAGGTTCAGTCAATAATGATCATGCTGTGTGATGCTATACATTGCTATGTGCTATAAAAGTAGAGAAAAGTGGTGAAACAAGTGTAAAAGAGATGAATTGACTGATATGAGTGATATTTGAAACGAAATATGTGATATGTTATATTAAATGGTATATTATGCTTTACTTTCAAATAGTTGCATGTGATAGTCAATAGAAGTGAGTTATTCCATTAGTGAGATTTTTATCTCACCCCCCATGGTTACATTTTTACAAGACAGGATAGTGATCAGGGTAAGGGAAGAAAGATAGGACCGGCATAATGGTGCTGTTGTCATGAGTCTCTGAGATTGTTTAATAAACTGAGAACTTGTATATATATGTGTATATGATTTGCTATAGGGTTTCAAGTATGTTTTGAGTAGTGATTTTATGGAATCTCAACCCAATTATGTATATATGTGGTAAATTGAATCAAGGGCTAAGATTTATATGTGTATGTGTTGATAACATTGTAAATGTTAGTAAATCTTAAGCCCATGTGTCAAATTATGAAAATGAGTAATTTGGGGCTAAGATTGAGTAGCAAATGTGATTTTAGGTGAATATGTGTTGAGAAAGGGCCGAGTGGGCTATGTTGTGCTAAGTGATGGCAGATTGTGAAAGTTGAAAAATGTGAAAATTGACCGTTGAGAGGTCAAATTTCAATATACATGTATGTGTGGGATATATTATGGTTAATCAGGTGTATCAGGACCTTTTAGACTTGATTCAAGGCCTTGTATGGTCTAATGAGAGAAATGAATCAATTTGAGTGCTTGAGTACGCAAAACTTTTTAAAAAAGTAACTTTTTGTACCCAGATGTCTAATTTTTGATTAGATCGTTAGATCATGTTCGAACTTATCTCATGAGTTAGCTTATGAGATAAACTTTGTGTGGACACTTGAATCATTCTGATTAGACATCGTATATGAAAATAACGCACACTTGAAGTTTGTCATTTTGCTATCAAAATGACAACAGAAATTTTGGACTAGCCTGCCGTGGCGCATGTCATAGAGAATTAAGTGTGTGGCTTTGCGCCACATGTCGCGGCGCACGTATTGCACTCCACGGTGTGTAATCCTAATTTCCAACTTGATTTTATGGGTTTTAGGGCATGCAATGAATGATATGAATGTAACTTTTTGCCTTCTACTGTATGATGCTTTAATATGGTATGATTTTAGCAATTTTGCAAAATAAGTCTTTGGCTAAAGCATTTCAAACAAAATATTTGACTACTGATTGGTGTGTTTAAGTGGTGGTTCTATTTAATCTTCTTTTGTATCTGGAGGATATGTGAGGAGGTTACAAGAAGCATTGAAAGACACATTATCAAGTGTTTAAGAAGCATGGGAGGCATGATTATTTCATATCAAAAGGGAGTCCATGTGGCAGTTGATTAGGAGATCTAAGGAGAGTCAAATTTTTCACACATGCTCACATTTTCCTTGATCACATTTTTTCATCTCATCAGGCACCATTTTCAACCAATTTCCAGCTCATTCCCAACTTATTGTCTAATCATTTCAGATCTAGATTTACCTTGTTTTTATCATTATTTACATTGTTTTTATCACCATTCATATTATTCCCACATACTTAAGCATTA